TGTTAAAACGCTACCAAATATTTGTAATGAAAAATCTGAGAATAGGGGATCTCAGGAGACATTGAAGTTAAAAGTTATAAGTTTCATGTAAATCCTGAAATCACTTTTGATATGCTACCATAGGCTTACATTTGATGAACAAAGATTCGGTGACAATCGAAATTTCGAAATAGCATAATACATTTTCGTGAAATAAATATTCCCCAATTTTCTATAGCATTTTGGTCTGCCCATTGGATTTTCATTTTGTTGGGAACAATCGAATCTTCTCACATATTTCGTTAATTTAGTCATGATTATCAGAGTTCGGAATATTAAAAAAAACGTGTACTATGTTTTGCTGGTATAGGGTTTTTGAAAGTGAACCTTTTTGGAATGCTTCAATTAAGTTGGTTATTTTAAGAAGTAACACAATTCATTCTAGTCCAAATGGATATCAGTGCATAGGTAAACTGATTTTATATTCAAAATCATTGTCAAGTCTTACCACAATGGTTTTGAACAAAAAAGTGTACAAGGTGTTTGTTCAAGAAATATTAACAGTCACGGGCTGATTTAGAGGGCAAGACCCCCCCCCTTCCATTCCCTTAGACTCTCAAGTCTTTTTTTCCAAAAAAATGTATATATTGCTGCTTAGTGTAAAACTGCTGGGCCTGATTCTTGAGACAATTTTGTTACAAGAGCATTGGCTCTCAAAAGCGCTGCTCAAGTGCGAAACATGCAGCCACTCTCCCGCTCTTCAAAATTTAATCGCTGCTCCTTGACACGAACATCTTCCGGCGCTCCTCCCCTATACAGATTCCTAAATCGGCCCTTGTTGACTGTCAATTTTTCACTTTAGTCTAATCATATGGTTTGTAAAGTCTGCTTCTATTGTTGCAAGTTGTACACCATTTTTGTTGGAAAACTTCTTGTTCGACAACAAAGAATGAGAAAACGTGTTTTTTTGGGATTCAATCGAAAGTGTTGGCAGGAACGAAAAAGTCCTCAGATGAATCTTTAGATATTCCTGAGACCTACAAAATGCAACCACACGTAAAAATATTCGACGAATAGCAAAAAAGTTATGGCCGAAAATCGAGGCAAACTGCAGGTTTTGGCACTTGTAGGATTCGTACTTCTAAATAACCACAACAAAATTGGAGTAGGTTGGTCATGTGATTTTTGAGAGTTTCTAATTGTTTACCCCAAAACACATGTCTTCCGGCGATCACTACCAGTTTATGGAGCAATATACAGGGTTAGTTCAAAGTGCATTTTATAGCAAAATACACTAGTTTACCTTGGCGATATGAATCGCAAACCATTCCTGAAGATAAATGTTATTTTTATGCAAAAAAGGATGGATTACGTTTTTTCTTGTGAACAGATTCAAACAAGTGCCACAACTGCATTTTGCTTCGTCGTTCGGTCATAAATACTTAAAAATCTTATATGAAATGAAAAGTTTTTCGTTCCTGTCAACACTTTCGATTGAATCCTAAAAAACACGTTTTCTCATTCTTTGTTGTCAAATAAAAAGTTTTCCCCCAAAAATTGGTGTACCCATTTTATGCGTTCATGTTTTGCACCAATAAAACCAGACTACAATTATTTCCGGGAAATTTGCTTATATGATTACGACTACCTATCAAATCCTAAAATTTGAAATCTTTTCCTTGGTTTGCACTGTACATACATACACTTTTTTACTTTGAAAAAGTCATTTATTGATTATTTATCTACTATCTGATTTAAAAAAAAACTCTTTAGTAAGAGCTTAACTTTTGGACACCCTTTTGCTCGAGTTGTTGTGGCAAAAGACAGCTTTCGAGGAGCCTTCAGTAAATCAGACTTGAAGAAATCAATGTATTTTTGTAGATGTCTAGAGAACATGTCCATGCTTCTTTTTTTGTTTTCTATGAAAATGATTTTAGCAAATATTTTGCGTACAGTGGACTAGATAAGATCTCACAACAAATTTTTATATTTTCAATACAGTGTAATTATGGTTAACAATAAAAACTAGTCTTGTGTTGTTGAATCGTTGTTTTATTTCCTTCTTTGTTGTTCAAGTTTGATTAATGATACTGCGGTTATGGTAAAATATATTTTACTATATTCATCGTAAAAAAATTGAACTAAGCACACAGTAAGAATGGTTAAGGCAATCATACAATTATTAGAAAAACTATATTGTAGCACTACATTTGGATTGAAAAGTTGTTCAATATAATGGAGAGGAAAACAATGTTGGCAATTTGGTAAAAAGTAGATCAGGTTCTAACTGCGTCAAGAAATAATTTGGTGTTAAATTTCCGTTTTATACATTTGAAATTTGGCCGTGAACTGAATTCATGTTGAAACCTATTCATCTATCAACCTAAAACGTGTATATTTCCAGAAACTTTAAAACCAAAAAATTGTTCAGACTATTTTCCGTTTACGAACTTTTATTTTCCAGTTGTTGAATCTATCTTGGCTGGAATTTGAAACTTTTTGGGCATGTGGCGCCATCTGTTACATAGTAGCATTAATGACATTAGGTGTGTTCCAACATCAGTTTACAGCAGATTCAAGCTTGGATGAGCCTGCAATAACAGTCATCGAATTTAACTGAACAGGAGTATCGACTCGTGAAATAAGGTTTAAGAGTTTGGGAACATTGCAACAATTCCTTGTTCCAAACCAGTGACATCGATCTGTCATATTTGTTGATACTTTCTTGTGAAAGCAGGGTCACTCGATCGGTTGGTGTCTGGCCTGAGGACGTGAGTTATGGCTGCAGGTCCCGCGAGACGGAGCTGATTTGGGTGCCTCGCACCATCAACCTTAAATCTTTTCATTACGTTGAATCCTTGACAGACGCGGGAACGCCAAAGTTTCGTCGTCCAATATGGTGTAACTTCGCTTCAACGCTGCATTTTGATCCCGATGCAATATCAAAGTGATGAATCTACGCATTTAATTTACTCAAAAAACGAGATACACTTGCTGAAGATTATATATTAGAAACTTCAAAATGACTAATAGAATTTAAATATTTTATACCATTGCTAGCAAGCTTCTTCTGTTTGTAATTTTGCAATAAACGAATTGAAAGTATTGTCCACACAAGCTTATTCCAATATTGGTATAATATGATTCCAAAACATAGGAATATGAACTTTTGGAATTGATGAATCTTGATCAAAGCTTCAGATAATTCTCTGGTGGAACCAACCTTTTATTTACAGTTTTCTATACAGTAGTTTGCTATAATAACTAATAGATGTCGCTACAAAAACGATGTTAGCGACACCTTTTGATGGCAATGTAAAGCAAAAAGTACTTTATTATCTAATAGATGTCGCCATAACCGACGACATAGCGACATCTTTCTGTAGCATAGTTAACTTCTGTATATATGGTTGCCTATACATAAGGTAGGTAATATTTCTAGGTAAATTAGAATCATTCTCAAATTCGAAATCCAGGAAAATTACCAGAATACAAGTAGCCATAGTCTAATCATATTAGCAAATTTCTCCGAAATAATTGTAAAGTCTGGTTTTATTGATGAAAGTTGTCCAAGGGGGTATTTAGATCATGGACGCATGACATGGGTGAACTTTTTATTCGAAAACAGAGAATGAGAAAACGTGTTTTTTGAGATTCAATCGAAAGTGTTGACAGAAACGAAAGAACTTTTGAAATGAGATTTTCGGGTATTTATGAGACCTACAAAATGTGACCATACGTAAAAAAATCCGTCTAATAGCAAAAATGTTAGGGCCGAAAAGTGCAGCTCTTGCCAGTTGGATTCATATTTCTAAATAACAACAAAGTTAGAGTAGTGTGTCAGGTAGTTTTTTCAGAATTACTGATTGTTTATCCAAAAACACCCGTTGTTCGGCCATCACTACTAGTTTATTAAGCAATATACAGATAATTGTTATTTTTATGCGAAAAACAAAGGTGACGTTTCATAATTTGTAAGTAGTTGAACAGATTCGCTACGATATTCGAGAAACGTACGTCATTATACACATTTTAAAACAAAGCGGATGTGTCTATGGCCTTTTATTGGGAAGAAAAAAATTCTTTTCGAGATGTCTTCATACTCTTGTGTATATTTATTTAGAGCTGACATTTTTACACGGTCACAGATGAGCCTTAAAGTTTATAAAAAATATTTCATATGGAAATGCACTGAACTGTTTATAAAGTTAGCACGCAAACTGACGACACTACGTTTCAAACTGTCTCATACTAGTTAGTATGTAGCATGTGCTAAATGGCTGCATTATTGATGATGACTGCATGACATTGTCAAATAAGTATAACACGTAATCCAGTTTCTTTACGAAGAAATCCAATTCCCTGGACCTTTTTTCTAAATGTACTAATATACGTCTTTTTTCGAAATCGCGTACGATTAAAACGACTGCGAGTTCAAAATGTAAGAAAATAAACTCGAGAAGATAAAAAAATATCAACCTGCATCTTACATTGGTTTTCCGCCATACCTTTTTTACTGTTTAGCCGATCCTTTTAAGTGTGGTGTCATTTTGAAGGTGTTACAAATACTTAAAAATCTCGTATAAAGTGTTTTCGTTCCTGCCAATACTTTGGATTGAATCCCACAAAACACGTTTTCTCATTCTTTGTTGTTGAATAAAAAGTTTTACGAGTCCATGTTTTAAATGAACAACTTGCAGCAATAAAACCCGATTTACGATTATTTCGCAAACCAGGGGTGTTTTCGTCTAATACGATTAGACTATTTTAAGGCAAGAATTGGATATGTTGAAGTCACAAGTTGCAGTTAATACTGGATGTATAAGCTTCAGAAAAGATGTGCAATTAAAATAATTATAAAATTAAAGTGAAAAACCGAAAGAAATATTAAGAAATGTGGATACAAAAAGAAAAAAGCACAGCTAATATTATAAAACGCGTTCAAGGAGAGCAAGAAGCTGGATTTCAATAAACTTGGGAATAGTAACAATTAGTGGTAAGATAATAAATGAAAATCAAAATTTGTCCTAACCAAATTTTTATTACCATCAAGATACAGCATAACTGGCTATACGCGAACTACGTTTCTTAAATAGCTATTTACAGGTACAGTTATTAATATGTATATATAAATTGCTCACTAATATAAAACAGTAATTGTTTCAAGATCGTTATTAAAAGATAACATACCACAGGCTGATTTGGTTGCGCAACTCCAGATTGGCTAGATAAAGCAAAATAAATAAATGAGATTTCTAAGATCAAGCAAAAAGGAATAACTATATATCAATCTCATAATTTCACAAACGATATCGAAACAAAACTGCTTTATATTGACCTCAATTTGATTTTCCCATGTATAAAGTTCAATAGACAGGAGCCTGGGGTGGTTATAGAATATCCCTGAAAAAGATTTCTATTTTACAAAGTGTTTAGTTAAGAAATAATGCCTGTTTCATTTTTCTAGAATGTTTCACAGTTATTGCATAATGTACAAACTGCTTTATCATTAATACTGACAACATCAAAAACACGAAATTCAAGACAGGGCAGCTTAAAAAAGTATAGAGGGTGATTCAGAAAATAGTAGGGCATAAAGCAAAGCAAAAAGTAACACAAAAATCCAATAGCACAGAGGGGATATATCTGCAATTAACCTGAATCTGTGAAAAATGCGTCCGAAGTTTGGATCTTTGAATTTAATTTACCAAAGACCAGAAACGGTTTTTTTCACATTCACACTTTGTTTAGGTAAATCAAGATATTCACTGAAAATATCATAAGCCAATAAAAAACTAATGTTGAAATATACAGTAGCGGACAAATTTTAACATTATTATGAACTATTTCATATACCTAAATTAAAATTGTGCAGGAACAGATAAATATTAAAGTCCACCTTTGTCTCCCATACTAATACAAGGTTTACCTTATCAATATTCAAATTCTCTGAAAATAAAAACACGCGGTTTTTTAAATACCACAGTTTTAGTAACGATAAAAGTATGGAAACATTTCAGTTTTGCCATATTTAGTCGTTCTGTGATACTCTGATATTGCGTGCGGTGAATATTAACATCAGTGAGAATGGCACAAGTAAAAGAATTTTCAAATGATTTAAGAGACAAAGTAATTGAATTATTTAGAAGGGGTGTCAGAAATGTTGACATTTCTCAAAGATTAAAAATGAACAAAGGACGATTTCGAAAATTATTAGTAAATATCAAGAGTACGGATCAATAGCAACGCGGCTCAGGTGCGGAAAAAAATCTCTACATTAAACGTTTGTCCCATGAAGATCCTCTAATGCCAGCTACACAGATTTTCAAAAGAATCGTAGAAGAGGGTGCCGAGAACAGAACAGTGCAGAGACGCTTGGTGGATTTTTGAGCTTTTTGGTAGTGCAAAAGCCTCTCATTTTAAGAGAAATCTCGGCGTGAATTTGTTAAAACTCATCTAACTTGGACAGAACAACAATGGAATACGATTTTATGGAGCGATGAAAGCCAATTTAACTTGTTTGAATCTGACGGTACGGCATATGTGAGACGTCCAATACGAAAAAGATTCGACAAAAAGTATCAGTTGCCAACGGGTCCAATTGTAAAAATTGGATCTAAAACTTTACAATGGAGATTCCAGCAAGATAATGACACCGAGCTTACCTCAGAATTCGTAAAGAACTGGTTAAGATTAAAAAATGTTAATGTTCTTGTATTGTCTTCGCAATCCCCGGACCTAAACCCTATATAACATCTCTGGGAGCATGTTATAAGACAACTGACAAGAAAAACTTTTAAAAATAGGAACGCTTTATTTGATTATGTAAAAAATATTTGCCAAAATATCCCAACAGACGTCTGTAAAAAATTGGTGTCTTCTATGAGCAGCAGATGTCAGGCGGTGGTGAATGCTTACGGCGATATATAGGCTACCAAATATTAGCTAAACAGTATTTTTCACAACTTATGTTGTAAATATGTTTCCATACTTTTGTCGTCTCATGGAATAATAGGAAGGTATTTTAATGCTAGTCTGTAGCACTACAGGAAACACAAATTGTCATTTGTATCATCAAGACTGTAAGCAAACTATATGAGAAAAAAGTCCTTAATAATAAAGAATAAAAAATTAGCGCACTTTTTAAAAATTATTAAGAATGTTTCCAAACTTTTGTCCGCTACTGTATGTACAACTTCTGGCGACTAAACGCACAAAAGCTGTAGAATTTTGAATAAGGTATGTTTTTTTGCTGAAAAAGATGATCCCTATTTTAGTTGCTGAAAGAAAGCGACTATCTACATTTTGTAATTGTATTGACAATTTTTACAAGTTACAGTTGAAATAAAAAATGAGCAAGCTTTTTTTGCTGAAAAACTTGTACCAATGACCTCAGATTGGAAAAACTCGAGTGTCGTGTAAACAAATAGATCATAATTCCAATAAAAAAAGCCTCAAGGAACCACTGTGTAAAAGTTTTGAACTTTATGGTATTTTATGTTTTTTTATATTATGAGATGTGAATTTTATCCTACCAGGATCAGACAACAGACCTTTTCACCTTTATACGTGACAAAATTCAAAAAGGGTGCCTTCACGTATGACAATGGTAGAAATTACTTTAACATAAAGTTTCGGTGAACATGTTCATTTTCCATGGCATTTGGCGACAAAGCCAACAGCTCACAGAAAATGGAATAATAAAACTAACGATAACAAAAATGTTGACAACTCTGAAAATTATAGCATATAAATTAAACATAGAAATATAGACATGCTTTAAATCTAAATTCAATAACTACGGAATATTCAACAATATTCTTCCTGCTATACAATCAAATGGCATTCACGAATGTTATCCTGAAGTTACTATTCTAATCCATCTTTGAATTTCAGCGAGTCGAAAGATATAAAATTATGCGGCAAATGGGTATTTCAAAAAATTTTCTTCTACTACGTCTATGGTGAGAAGTTTTAGAAGCCATTGTACAGAAGTGTAAATCGTTCATTATAGGATATTTTTGTAAATCAAAAATTCCCTGAAACGCTTGGGCCAAGCAAATATTCAACAGCAAGCACATGAGAGAGGAAACCGGTAAATAAAGATGATCACTATTTTAGTTGCGAAAAGAAATCGACTGTCTACATTTTGTTTATTGACAATCTTTATGATAAGTTACAGTTGAAATAGACTACCTGCTTTGAAGTGTACCTAAATATTGTTGCGGCGAGACAACCCAAGTTTGACATAGATCGCTAGGCATCAGATCAATCCATTTGCGCTTTCAATATTCACCTCTTGCGAGCTGCATTTATGTTCCTCAAGATATAGCTTGCTCTGCACTCATTTCCTCTCCCAGCGCGTGCTCATAGCCCGTTCTACAGCCCTTTCTAACACCCCGCCCAGCGTCACCAAATGCCCGCCCCTTTTTCCTTTCCTCCTTCTGCCCCTCTTTTTAATCCACCTGTTCCTACCCCTGTGCTAACATCAAATGTGCACCGGCACGTGCACCAGCAGCTGCGCCCTATCGTTGAACACCTCGCTGCACATTTCGCACCTGAACAGGCCTGCCGAGTCGGCCGTGTCCGTGGAGGCGGTGCTGTTTTCGGCAGGCGCGGCGCTTGCATTGGTCGAGCACGCGTTCGCGCTCGCGTGCTGCATCGAGATCTCGGCCAGCTCGTGCAACGGAGACGGAGACGGATCGAACATCTCCTGCTTCACGTTCACCATCTGGGGACAAAAGACGTTGAAATTTCGTTAACATTTAAATCTAATACACCACGCAAACATATGCCGCGGGCAGGGGGCTAGTCGCTAGCTCGTTTCTCGGAAATTCAGTCGCAATGGATCGCTTCACGGGGCCGCAACGCGCTTAGTGTGTGAAACAACTTTATTTAACCCAGATATGCCTAGCGTACAATTTATGCTACACCGTAAACAAGTCGCGACTTGCAACGACCTGTGCTTATTACTATTACTATTACTATGATAATTGAGATGAGCAGAGTACACAGTACTATAAGCTCATACAGTAAATATAGTGTACGGACACGTAACACAAATACATCAAATAAAAAAAAAAAAAGACAGTTCATAGCTATAAAGTTTGTACACTCCTCCAGCTATCATACTGCACTTTGAAGCTATTAACTGAAGTAGTACCAACCACACTTTCAGGTAAACTATTCCAGGTGTTGAATATGCGGTTGGGAAGAAACCACTGTCGGACTGTTGTTTTAAATGGCTCCTTATGCAGTTTGAAGCTGTGTCCGCGTAGATTGCTGCGCGACAGACGGAAGTATCCTGAACGTAACTATAAGATCGCCACGAAGTCTTCGCTCAGAGAATGAGGTCAGGTTGAATAATTCAAAGCGATCTTCATAGCTTGGTCTTCGTGCTCCAAAAGGGATACGAGTAGCCCGACGCTGTACTGATTCGACGAGATTTCTATCGCGCAGAAGCACAGTGTCCCAGCGAATTCAAGAATTGGCCTCACGAATGCCTTGTAAATGTAGGCGCAAGTGTTGACATCGGATCCTTTGAAAGACCTCTCCAGCATGTATAGAAGTTTCTTGGCTTTTGATGTAACGTGGTGAATATGCTCTGACCAGGAAAGACGATCGTTGACTACAACGCCCAGATCAGTGTGGCTGGAAACTGCTTCGATGTTGTGGTCAGAGATCTTGTATGTAAATCTCGGATTTGTCTTCCCGAGGTGAAGGACACAACACTTAGTTAGATTTAAGGGTAAAAGCCAACTGACTGACCATTGACAAACAATATCAAGATCTCGTTGAAGCATAGCAGAATTTACGACAGTATTGTAAATCTTTGTGTCGTCGGCATAAGCTGAACATGTGGAGGAAATCAATGCGGTCAGGTCACTTCTGTATACAGAAGGAACAGCACTGGCCCCAAGACAGAGCCTTGAGGAACTCCACTTGCTACATGATGAAGGTGAGACTGGCTATCACTGACGCGCACAGAGAAAGTCCTCCCGGTGAGAAAAGCCTTAATCCACAGTAACAACTCGCCTCTTATTCCCATACATTCCAACTTAAACAGAAGCCTTCTATGTGGTACGCGATCGAAAGCCCTAGAAAAATCTAAGTAGATTATATCGACAGGAGTCTTTGTGTCCAGATACTGAGTCCAATCGTTGAGAGAGTGGAGAAGGTTGGTCATTATTGATCGACCAGGGAGAAATCCATGCTGATTCTTAGGGATAAGGTCATTTTCGAAAGCAAATGACAGGAGCTTATCTAAAATGATTCTTTCAGCTATTTTGGCGGCGATAGGAACGAGACTTATTGGTCGATAATGTTTAGCGGAGGATTTGTCGCCCTTTTTGAATACAGGGGTAACAGAAGCACTAAGCCAGCATGAGGGTAGGGTATGAGATCTTAAAGACGATGTGAATATCAAGCTTAATGGTAGGGCCAGTGCTGAAGCGCAGTTTTTAAGTACAGCAGCCGTCATCCCATCTTTACCAGGGGAGGAAGAGGTCTTCAGATTTCGCAGATGCATTAATACATCTTCAGGCAGGAATTCAACTTCGCAAAGGCTGTTGGGACACCTATGCCTGTTTCATTTTTAGGGGCCTTTTTCTGGAGGAAGCCCTTGCTATGCTGGAGAATAATCAAGATGTAGTAGCAAATGTGGATAATATCACATTGATGCCTAAAATCAATGCTTGTGACATTCTCACAGACGAGGATGATGAGAATGTTATGTCAGCTGATAATCTACCGGGGTCACAATTACAAGCACCTGCTGAGATAAACATACCTCATGAAAAATATAGCTTGAATGGTTTTCACTTTTTTTTGACGGCGAACTTATAACACAACAACAAACAAATAGATATGCCAGGAAAAAGAATCGCCAACAAGAGGTGCAAGAGTATGAAATAAGGGCATTTATTGGAACACTAATATTGAGTGGTTATGTCGATGTACCACGTGCAAGAATGTTCTGGGAACGTGAGACGCTTATTTCGCGTTGAATTTACACCACTTAAGTCAGTGTCGGAGTGCTCCTTTGATAAAGAAATGGGTGAAGCAGTTCGAAGAGACCGATCTACACTGAATGTGAACCAAACCGCCGACCCACGGATCGCTCGGAGCGAAGAGAACGTGAAGCAAGTTTCCGCTTCTGTTCAACGTGATCCAGTTTTATCGACGTGCAAACGTTCGGCTGAATTAGGATTATCCCGCACATTATTACGCAGTATTTTGAGATTAAATTTGAAATTACATCCATATAAGATCCAGATAGTGCAGGAACTAAAACCTAATGATTTAAATGTGCGCAAGTCGTATGCCGAAACGATGTTAGCTCGATTCAGTAATTTTGACAATCTCTTATTTACTGACGAAGCCCATTTCCACCTCAACGGGCATGTGAATAAACAGAATTGCAGGTACTGGAGCAGCGAAAATCCTAAATCTAAACACGAGAAGCCACTTTACTCTCCTAAAGTAACTGTATGGGCTGCAATTTCAGCAAAAGGAATCATTGGCCACTACTTCTTTGAAGATTCTAGCGGCCATTAATTCCGTTAATTCTGCTGAGTATGTGAAAATGTTACGGGAGTTCTTGGCACCGATGCTACTGGAATTTGCTGGCTAGAATCGTAACACATGGTTTCAACAAGATGGAGCCACGTGTCACACATCCAACGAGTCCCTGCCGGTGGTCAAAGAAATGTTTCCAGAAAAGCTCATTTCCAGACGAGGCGACATCCCATGGCCACCCAGAAGTCCAGGCTTTTTTATGGGGTTATTTAAACAGTCGTGTCTACATCATTAAACCAAGTACACTCCGTCAACTAAAAGAAAACATCAACGAAGAGATGTGGCGATCTCGCAGTCTTTATGCTGACGAGTATTCGAAGACTTCGGTACACGTTTAGAAGAGTGCAAAAATCTTAGATGATATAATTTTCAAGAAATGAATTCCAACTAATTAGCTTTCTTGTGAATAAACGATTTTTAAAATGTGTCAAATGTTTTTTTTTTTCATACGATGTTAACTAATTCATGACCCACTCTGTAGTTCACGATGCCACGGAATTCCTTCATTTCTTTTCCCTGATTCTGTCTAGTAGAGAGACAAGTACAAGTACAAACATTTCAACGCTTTTTGCAAGAAACATGTGGAAAAAGATTTAAAAAATGTACTCAAGTTTAACGTTTTTTAGCAGCAATAAACGTGATCTTTCAACTTTTACAAACTTTGATTGTTGAAAACAAAAATAACATAGATAGATCACAGTGAAATTTCTTAGGGTTATTGTAGGTAATTTGTAACTGTATGAAAATATCACCTCAGGTTGGATGATAATCTCCTGCTTGATAAGCACCGAAGGCGATTCCTCTTCATTTTCAATATCCGGGATTGGAGACTCGTTGCCTTTGACAACAACTGCGTTATTCGTATGTGGTACATATGGTAATATGCTTTCAGGTTCGGTTTCTTCACTTTTGCGAGGCGTTCTTGCCTTGGAAACTATCATGCCTTCCTTTATTAGCCGCACCTGAAAACGGACGAATATATTAGATAAAGGAAGTAAGAGATTAGGTGTTTTAGGCACTGTTCCAACAAAAGCAGCTAGATTTAAACCGGTTCATTTTGAGGTTGTGGATAATGTCACCGACTATACGAGGGTGGTCCCAGAAGTACCCGACCCAACGAAGAAAAATTTTTTGTTAAAAATGTATTTATTCTACTTTGAGCTCTATACACTTTTCCCAGCGATGTTCAATAAGTTCGATAACCTTTTTATAATAAGAATTGTCTTGCTTCTCAAAATAGCCATTAACTGCCGATATCACTTCTTCATCGTTGGAAAATCTTTGACCACTGAGATATTTTTTCAAGTTTGGAAACAGAAAATAACCCGAGGGGGCTAAATCTGGTTAATAGGGTGCATGAGGTAGCAATTCAAACTTTAATTCGTTAATTTTGGCCATTGGAATAACGGATTTGTGAGCTGGTACATTGTCTTGATGAAACAACACTTTCTTCTTAACCAAATGCGGCCGTTTTTACTCGATTTCATCGCTCAAACGTTGCAATAAGTTCGCATAATACTCGCCGTTGATAGTTTTACCTTTTTCAAGATAGTCAATGAAAATTATCAGACGCGCATCCCAAAAAACCGACGCCATAACCTTGCCTATAGATGAAACGGCCTTCGCCTTCTTTGGAGCCGGTTGTCCCTTTTGAAGCCATTGTTTTGATTGTTCTTTTATCTTGGGTGTAAAGTGACCGATCCATGTTTCATCTATGGCTATGAAACGACGTAAAAATTCTGCTTTGTTGCTGTGAAACTTCGCTAAACACTCAATTGAAACATCTTCACGACACTGTTTTGTGAGCAATCGCGGCACCCATCTTGCACACAGCTTTCTCATGTCCAAATTTTCAGATAATATGCGATGAACCGCGCTTTTTGAAATGCCTACTATGTCTGCTAGCTCGTGCACTTTCAGTCGACGATCATTCAGTGCCGCTTCGTGAATTTTCTTCACCATTCCTGGAGTCGTCACCTCATTTGGTCAACCACTGCGATGTTCGTCTTGGCAGCTCATACGGCATCGTTTAAACTCTGCTACCCAATATTTTACTGTTGTAAACGAAGGAGCAGACTCACCCAGAGTAGAATCCAGTTCAGCTTTTATATTGGTTGGGCCGAGGCCTTTGAAATAAAAGTATTGTACCACATAACGATGACCAATTTTCTCCAATTTCACAAATTCACTGAAAACGTTCAGTATTGATGGCTGCCACACAAATACTAAACAACGTGGCGTCTTCAAACTTGACACATATACTTTATTGGTTGCATACTTTCTAATACAATGATATTTTTCAAACAACTATCGCCATCTCTAGGTCAGGCCGGGTACTTCTGGGACCACCCTCGTATGTGCGTGTGCGCAGGTAAAAGCTATTTCGAAGCAGGACCACACTCCCCAATGAGCGCTGGGTGGGTGGGTACTGACCAGAATCGGTCATCAGTGATCTATGGAGGTGGAAACCTTGCCTTGGAATGTACGAGATGCGGTGTTGCCAAGCGAACCAATGATGCAATGTTGCAGAATGACGAGGAAGTATTATAATCGCGAAAAATCTCGAAAATGAGATGTTTGTACAAGCTTGGGTGAACCTCTAGTGAACCGAGGATAGCATTGTGTAGGAAATGCAGAGTCAACCTACTTGACACTTTTTTAATTCATGAACGATCTGCGAAAAGCAACAGCTTGTATACAAACACATTTCTTGAATCCAATAATGCCTCATATACATTAATTTGCTTATCAAACTTCTGGTATCGACTGTAGCTCTACCGGAACATTTTTAAAACTGCTGCTCCATTGCACGTGTTGCCCTTGCGTTGGCGAGAGCTTTTGTAGTATTTGAATAAATGTGGCGAAACGGGTTGCGGTTGTCACCTTTCGGCTCTTCCGAAATGATTTTATTTGACCTTACCTTACTGCCTGGTCCAATCACATGTCTTCCAGACTTCAAACTGGCATTATTTCCGTTATTGCTACTTGAACTTCTAGTGCGAATTCTTCTGGATTCTATAATGTCACTTATAACTTCAGTTTCTACAGTCTGTTCTGCAGCTACCTATTTTAAAAAATATAACGGTAATGGTATGCTAATTTCAATTTCATTCTGGAGGGATAGTTACTCTTCTTCAAAATGAAAAAAAAAATGTAGAACAGGATATAGATAGGGCAAAATTGTTAATGAAATTGCGTTACTATGGCTTTAAAGAAGCAGTATTAAACATTTTACAAAATTATTTAGTAAATAGAAGTCAAAAAACTAAAGTTGGAAATATTATGTCAAGTGTTCAAAATACATATATCGGTAGGGGTGCCACAGGGGAGTAAATTAGGGCCGTTACTATTTATTATTTATATAAATGATATCTCTCTAGAACACTGCAAAATTCAAATATCTGCGGACGATACACTTATATATATATAGCACATAAGCATTTGGACATCGCTTTAGAACTGTTAAATAGTGATATTGAAAAAATTATGAATTGGTTAAATGTCAATAAACTTAAATATTAATAAAACAAAATGTATGTCAATAGGGAAACATTTAGGTGACACTACAATTAGGCTCATGATTAATGATGAAGAAATTGAAGTAGTCGAGTCATTTAAATATCTTGGTATATATGTGGATAGTCAGATACTGTTTCACGAACATTATGAATACATTATTTATTAGAGGCAGTATAGATTTTCATCTGCAAAATTGTAATAGTAGTATGGGGTTGTCCACAACGGACGCAGGAAAGTAAACGCATATTAAAACAAGAAAGATTGATATTCAAATCAAGTTGGGTACTTTATTTTGAACGTTCATTTATACCATTTATGTATGAAAAATAATACCGCTCAAATGTTCACCACGACTGGATTTACAGACGTCCACGCGATGGTCGAAATTTTCAATGACATTTTGCAACATGGTCGGTTCTATGGCATTTATCTCGGCAATGATGTTGTTGTTGAGTTCTTGGAGGGTGGCTGGTTTGTTGACGTAGACTTTGCTTTTCAAATATCCCCATAAAAAGAAGTCCAAGGGAGTCAAATCGCACATTCTTGGTGGCCATGGCACATTTCCTCTGCGCGAAATCACGCGATCACCGAAGAAGGACTGCAATCGATGGATATTGACGTTGGTTGTGTGGCATGTTGCACCGTCTTGTTGGAAATAAACATCGTCCATATCCATTCCTTCAAGTTGCGGCAAAAAATAGTCCTCAATCATCACGTGATATCGCCAGAATTGACGGTAACGGCGTCCCGGCCGCATTTTCGAAAAAGTAAGGTCCGATGATGCCTTTTGACCACAATGCACACCACACAGTCACTTTTTGAGGATTCATCGACTGCTCTTGATACGGGGATTTTCGTTCGCCCAGATGCGGCAGTTTTGCTTGTTTACCGTCCCATTCAAAGTGAAATGCGCTTCGTCGCTGAACATGATTTTTGATGAAAAATTGGCATCAATTTGGCGGTGTTCAAGGAGCCAATCTGAGAACGTTCGGCGCGAAAAATGGTCGGCCCGACGCAGCTCTTGCGTCAATTGGATCTTGTAGGCGTGTACATTCAAATCCTTGTGGAGAATGCGGCGCAAACTGGTTCTCGAAATGCTCAATTCTTGGGATCGAGGCGTTGTTGATGGTTTCGGATCGTCTCTCACACTCTCCTTCACAACAGCAATATTTTCCGGTGTGCGAACGCTCCTTGGTCGGCCAGAGCCTGGCAGATTTGCCACAGAACCTGTTGCCTCGAATTTACGCACCAGACGACCGACGGTTGTTTCGTTTGGGCGGTTGTTGCGACCGAAATGTTCACGAAGCGCGCGAAACGTGTTTTTTATTTTTGCACCATTTTTGTAGTGCTCTTGAATAACTTTAATGCGGTCTTCAATCGAATACGACGTCATAGCGATCAGTGGTAAACATTCAACTAACAAAATGACATGTCGGTGACAGAAAACAAAGATGGCGTCTATGTCAAATTGACGATTACTTTCCTGCGTCCCTATTGGACAACCATTTATAACTAGTAAATCTATATTTCAAAAGGGAGTATTTGAATTTAATAAATTGAATAATGATATTAGAGTTCGAATTTAAAAATGTTTAAGGTGAAATTAAAAAATCACTTTACACAGTATCTGCGTTCAGACCACAGGTAAAACACAGTAAATGCACCGACCAATCAAACAGATGGAATAGTGACATGTCATAGTAGATACTGTTTTCTTCCAGAACACAATATTTGTACATCAGTATTCAGTAACACCTGTGGCGTTCACAGTAAAGGACGTATGTTAGCACGTTTGTATTCAAAGCGATTATTAGTGAAAATATATTCATTTGAGCTCACTCACTGTGTGCGATATTGTTGAAGTGAAGTCTCTAAATGACACTGTTAGTTTTGCAACAACAGAGAAGCGCCAGCTTAAAATTTACGTGTTTTCTAACCTCGAATTGATTTTTGACCCGCGGTCGGCGCATCTGACATGATTGCCGGTTATTTAGCCACGACATTGCACATGTTCCATATGACTTTTTGACGTAACCAAAAACCGTGGAAAGAACTGATTAGTATAAATGTAGCATTTTCTAAACATTTTATGCCGGTTTGGCAACACTACCTCATTATATGCAGAGCCATCTATGAGCGATTCCTTGGCAGCATGTCGAGATTTGACCGGTTCTTATCGTATCGTATCAGTACGCGATGATGTAACTTTTAACAAGAATTCGGAATCGTTCCGCACCGACCCTGCTCTACTTCAAAGTATATTCATAAATGAATTTTTGCGTTCTCCTACTGTCTCATAGATTCCCTTTGGGCGCCGGCATACCGTACACCGTTTGACATCTTCAGGTAGAACTCGATCCTCATACTTACCCCCGGCGGTTGGTCCAACGTATCCATATACACGATGCCGTTAGTGTGTTGTTGGGTGTCATATATCGTTTCATTCGCACCCAGATTTTCCTCTTTCAAGATACTATCCACAGCCTGTTGAGTGTCGCTGTCTAGATCTGGGAAAGTAGCTAGAGGTAATTTTTCCGGCTGCAGTACGTGGTAGCTCACGTTTTTTGTTCGCGGCCGAATTCGGTCTCCTGCGAGATAACAATTTTTAGAATGCCAATTCATCAAGAGTTCCGTCGATTTGCAAGTAAAATGTATAGACTTCAAGTCAGTTTTGTCACCATGCCGCTAAAGGCGGCGTTCGAATGGACAATTGTCTTTTGATACTAAACGAAATCGTGCAATCTGTCGCGTAGGGCCCTAAAAGGTAATCAGCTAGGGAAACTTCGCAGATTTTGTGAATAAATTCCGCTTTCATTAAGTTATAAGTCACACTTTTCGCGGGCATTTTTTTAGCTAGATTCCCTAGTTGATTATTATTTAGAGCCGTATCCGAGAAATACACAAATTCGGACCACATACGAGGTTTGTTCAAAAAGTATCGCGAATTTCATGTTTTTTCAAGAATTATTCATTTATTCATGAATATCTATTTTGTCCCTGACTGAACATTCAAAACGGCCGATATTGTCAACATTAGTAAGGGTCATGAGTACCAACATAACGCCACAAAAAGATCGACAATCGAACATACGTGGCCCGCGAAAATTCAAAATTTGCGATACTTTTCGAACAAACCTCGTAAACTTCCCATGAAAATTGAGTGCCGTTTCGAAGAATAATCTCTTCTCTGACTTTAAACAAACATTAACGCTTTCTTGAACGTTCAAGGGGGATTTAACATTTGCATTTCATATTAGACTGAAACAGTTATCATACTGTCATCGATGTCAGAAAAGTTTTTCTTTGATGCCCACTCTTTCCAGCACTTTGATCATATATTTTTATGCTAAATTCTAGTGAGCATTGCAAATTTTAATGGAAATTTTACATCGAATAACAAACCCACACAGCGGAGCTGAACGGGTACAGGACAGTTTGAGCGTATTTTATACAGCATCAACATCATTATTTTACTCACAACCTCAAACGACGGTTTTTCATAACGAGTGCAGTGCCTTTATAACGAGACGAAAAGATTCCTGTTATTACACGCTTAAAAATCGTGTTACCAAAAACGACTTTACGAAGATTTCATAAATAGGCTATCGATATTTGCCTAAACTATAACTATCTAAAACTGTAATGACTCATCGATGTTCACGTGAACATCACTTAACTACCAGTAGTCGGCTGTTCATAGGCGGGGTATGAATGTTTAACATGGGTGAACTAGATTTGTCACATGCTTAATAAAGAGTGGTTTGAAACATATTGTAAGTCAAAAATTTGGGAATTACCTTTATTCATCGTCGCTTCCACTTACATCTGACAGTAATAAACTGTCGCTATCGCTTTCCTCGTTGAAATTGACTATAACTGGCTCTATGATGGTGTCGATGTGGTGGTCAAGCTGCCACATTTTTGTTTCTTCCTTCACAACATGACGGATAGCATTCTGCCAAGCTTCGGGCGTTACTAGCTGTATGGAAGTCTCAAGTAAAACCTTAACGTCTGGTAATTTGAAGGTTGTGTTATGGCGCGCAATATAACCCTTCACTTGAGCCCAGATGAGCTCTATTGGGTTCAGTTCACAGTGGTAGGGCGGTAACCGCAGCACAGTGACACCACATTGGCGGGCCATCTCATCAGTCACGTAACTAATGTTCGCAGGTTTGTGCTGTTTAATTTTTTCATACAATTCCGCGTTCACACATGAATCGTCAAACGGGATTCCTTTTTCGCGCAACCATTGCTGCATGTCACTTTTTCGAGATCCCATAGTCGGTACACGTTCGGCTCGACGACTATGGTAGGAAGCATTATCCATGACGATCACAGAGTTGGGCTCAACTCGCTGAAGCACCCCTTGAAACCTGCTCTCGAAGCAGCTGGCATTCATTTCGTCATGGTAATCACCTCCTTTCTTAGAGACGAAAATCAAGTCACACTCTTCTAAAAAGCCACTATCGCTACCAATATGAGTTACGATCAATCTTTGACCTTTCCCTGACGGTCCACGAAGACCTGTTGACAAACCTTCAATGCTTGCTTGTCGGTTACTCACTACGTTTTTGTCTATCCAGATTTTTTTAACTGTGTGACCTGCATTTACCCATGTCTCGTCCAAATAATAGATTTTTCTGCTTTGTCGCCTATATTCAATCATTTCGCGTAGGTATTTTCGACGCCAGGCGACTATTTCAGGTCTCTCTATCAATACTGACTTTCGTAACGAAAATTAATTTCGTGCAGGGATTTCCTCATTACCTCGATTGGGGTATAATTTCATTTTCCTTGATCGCTGCATGTACAGCCTTGAGGGTTGGTATCTCATTCCTAAAGAAGAATGAATGTACGGTTCGCCTTAACGCCATTTTGCTATCGTCATCCAATTTAACGGCCTTTCGTCCCTTCAAATTAAACTTTGGATCAGTAGTAGCTCCAGTTTTCTTCTTTTCATGCACCACCCTGCGACATAGTTCTGTTCAGATAATTGAACACGTTGAGCACGATTTCTTTCGCGTCCCTCTTCAGTGCTTTACGAAGCCGTCTACTTGATCCCTGGCTTTAAGTATTTCCACTCGTGCCATTTGTACTCTCCATGGTTAAGTATAACCAAAACAGTAACCACAGAAACCACAACACTAACAATCACACAACAATTCTTATAAAAACACACAATATGCGATCGCTCAACGAAACACGTTCCAATGCGTTGCCGACGCCTATGAGTCTGCCGGTCGAGGCGCGTCTTTGATTTCATTGGTTCTACCGGCGGAGAGCAATCAGCCATTATTTCCATCTCTGTCTGTGCTGTTGACCACCGCAAAGCCACAGAAACGACATATGTCGTACGCTATACGGCTGTACTGGAAGGAAGCCGGGATCGAGCTCTGATCACGTGTTGATCACGCGTATGAGTCATTACAGTTTTAAATAGTTGTATACTAAAGGCATCATTTGATATTTAATGCTGGGCGACCAAAAACGAAAAACGGCGTGGAGTAGAAGGAAGCTGAAAAACGGATCTCATCTCTCATCTTTCTGACATTTATAACAGTCTTGAATACTCCTGTTAACGTTCCTCGCGGAATCGTTGTCAAAATCAAGGAATAAATCATTCCTCAAAAGGTATTTACTACCCACATGTAAAAAGTATCTAGTATCAACTTTATTTTTAACTTGCAAAAAATGACAGAAGCCTTTTTTCTAATTATTCAGAACGTTAATAAACCCCCATTTTTCGGCCGCTAAGTGAAACCCCATAAGTAGGATATTTAGCGGCTTGAAAAACATGCGAGATTTATTAGCATAAAAAAACAGGATGCTTTTTTGCAACGCAATTTATATCCAAAATCAAAATATCCAAATTAATGAAAACGAAAATATGTAATGTAAATTTTTTATCAAACTATTGCTTCGAGTTTACCTGTGCTAGATTTGATTTCAGTAGGCTGAGTCCTTGTGACAAGAGTTTTGGTTCTATGCCTAATCCTACCATCTTCACTCGTTTCGACTGGCACTCTGGTTTTTTGTGTATGGATCATCTTTGGTCTGTAAAAAAATAAAGCAAAAGCAAGTAGAATAATAAAAAAAAGTGAGCTGTAAATAACTACAAGTAGCTGCTTAAATTTATTATCAAAAAAGTAATAGACTCAAGAGCACTTTCGCTAATTCTCCTCTGTTTTGAAGAATCGGCATTCAAGATGTAGGTTACCACATAATCCCTTTCTCCATTTCGTTTTTGTGTTACCTGCTAGGTAAATTCTGGTCGCCTTTAAACTTCTTCTGCTTATTCTTAGTAGGCGTTTGTTTGATGGCAATGTTAGGAGTCGGGTTGGTGAGACTCTCCACTGCAGCTTGCGTCGCCGCCGCATCGTGCTCGTCAAACATGATGAAATCGTGATCCTGCTGGTGTTGCGCATCGTCCACTTCGCCGTCTCCTGGCGAAGACCCTGAGGTTTTCTGTCTCGGTTGCCTCTTGCCGCTGTACCGGCGGCGTATACGTTCCGGCTCCTCCTCCGACCCTTCCATGTGATTGTACTGGTCCTCTATCGTCTGTCCAACAGAATAGTGGAATTCGTTTAGGATTAGTTCGAACGGCAATTTGTTATTTATAATACACTACAGACTACACAATAGAATTAAGGGAGCAAAAAAAATTAAAATTATTCGGTGAAAAAAGGTATCTAGACTCTAGAAAAGCATTTGGAAGCTTCAAGATTCTAATTTTCAGGTTTTTTAGCTAAAAATTTTCAGGATCAACGGTTCTCATGCAATTCTAATAGATAACGCAAGAAAAATTGTATGCAAAACTTTTGCCTACTTCTTTTCCATAAACTGGATTAAAACTAATACAGGATTTTATTGCAATCTTTCGAGAATTTTTTTAATTTTCTTAGTGTGGATTAAAAAAAAAACTCAGAAACTCAGAGTCGAAAAAATATAATGCATTTTCGTAAATTTATTTTTGAAAATACTGTGGCTTGGTGCCTTAACGAAAAAAAAATGTACGAAGGGCGATTTAAAATGGTTTGCTTGATAAACATACAGGGTGTCCCAGGAGTCGACGTCAAGCCGAAACCGGGTGATAGGCAAAGTCATAACAGCTATCAGAAAAATATTTAAAAAAATTTTATGTATGTGTTTTGAAAATTATAGGTCTTTGCAAAAGATATAGAAATTTCACACCCTACGGCAGTCTGTCAACTCCTGTTACTACAAATATTAACTTTTTTTGGATTTTATTTTTACAGTGTAATGATGAATAATGCATCTTCAAACTGGTGTATCAACCTTACTGCCAACTTTTCTCGTTCAGGAAAAATTGCCACTTATTTCCCAACCAAGTATTCCAAAGTAAAACTTTGCTCAACTTTAACTGGCTGTACTGGAAAAAACTGTACTACGAGAGTTTGGCAAGTAACCTTAAAAGTTGGCGAATTTAATAACGATTCCAAAATGGTATAACACTTAGAAGATTAATCCTAAGTAATTTCCTAATTAAACAGCGATTATGAAAACGCACAAGGACCCTTAAGGATAACTGTTTGCACAACAGTGGGCGTCAAAATGCTGCTGATGATGATTTACCTTTACAGCAAATGCTCAAACTGTTCTCCTTCAGCCGCAATACACGCTCGACATCTTCTTAAAAAAGATCGGGTTATTAAACGGTTATTAATAAACTCAGCTGCTTCCAATAGTCTTTGCCGTAGCTCAGCTACATTTTGAATCGGCTTGAAATACACTTTTTCTTTTACAATTCCCCAGTAAAAAAATCTAAAGGATTCAAATCAGGTGATCGGGCTGGCCACGGTATTGTACCAGACCGCCTTATCCATCTGCCTGGAAAGTTTTGATCGAGATACTCTCTGACTGAGAGTGCATAGTGCGCTGGGCAGCCATCATGCTGAAACCACATGTCCCTGTAAATACTCAGTGGCACGTCCACCAATAAATTTTGTACATGATTTTTCAAAAAATCCAAATAAACTTCAGCAGTCAAAGTCTCTGGGAACTCAAACGGACCGATTATTTTACCATTTAAAATTCCTGTACAATGGTTTATCTTGAAGCGATATTGAGATTTATCTTCTCTCATCAAATGTGGGTTGGCTACGTGCCACTCGTGTAAGTTATGCAGGTTTATGTACCCATCTTTCTTAAATGTGGTCTCATCCGACCATAAATTTTTTTCAAAGAACTGTGGATCTTTCCTGTGTCTTTCTAACATTGTGCGACAAAAAGCAACTCGGGCTCATAATCCCGGGGCAGGAGAGGTTGAACACGCTGTATGTGGTATGGATGAAGCACATCACTTACTTGCTGTTGCACACTTTGATACCGATCAGTACTCCTTCGTTTACTGCGCATCTTTACATGTTCGTGCTTGTTGATTTCGTACTGTTACTAATTTTGGATTCGTGAACTGGACTGTTGACCGCTTGTGATTTGGATTTGGACTGTTTAATTGCTCTTCAAAACAACATTTGCTTTCCTTAGACTATCTTTGATAGTGTGATTGTGCAGTGCCGCTATGTCCATGTACACCGTACAAGAATATGCTAACATGCACCTCATTTATGGGGAATGCAGATGCAACGCTAGTGCTGCAGCGAGACTTTACTGTGAGAGGTACCCGAATGCAGCTCCTCATCCAGATCATCGAGTGTTCACAAATGTGCGCCGCTTACTGTTCTCAGAGGGCCACTACCAAACCAATCACACGGTGAGGGAAGATCTTTCCTTCCTTACGAAGACGTGGTGCTATTCGCTGTCGAAGAAGACCCGAGTACTTCAGTGCGTGCAATAGAACTAAAAACAGGTGTGCCCAAAAGTACAGCCCATAGAATCTTGCAAAAAAACGTGCTCCATCCATACCACGTACAGCGTGTTCAAGCTCTTCTGCCCCGGGATTATGAGCCCCGAGTTGCTTTTTGTCGCACAATGTTAGAAAGACACAGGGAAGATCCACGGTTCTTTGAAAAAATTTTATGGTCAGATGAGACCACATTTAAGAAAGATGGGTACATGAACCTGCATAACTTACACGAGTGGCACGTAGCAAACCCACATTTGATGAGAGAAGATAAATCTCAATATCGCTTCAAGATAAACCATTGGACAGGAATTTTAAATGGTAAAATAATCGGTCCGTTTGAGTTCCTAGAGACTTTGACTGCTGAGGTTTATTTAGGTTTTTTGCAACATCATTTAAAAAATTTATTGGAGGACGTGCCACTGAGTATGTACAGGGACATGTGGTTTCAGCACGATGGCTGCCCAGCGCACTATGCACTCTCAGTGAGAGTACTCTAGATCAAAACTTTCCAGGCAGATGGATAGGGCGGTCTGGTACAATACCGTGGCCAGCCCGATCACCTGATTTGAATCCTTTAGGTTTTTTTACTGGGGAACTGTAAAAGAAAAAGTGTATTTCAAGCCGATTCAAAACGTAGCTGAGCTACGGCAAAGACTATTGGAAGCAGCTGAGTTTGTTAATAACCGTGGATTCGCTCGTTTAATAACCCGATCTTTTTTAAGAAGATGTCGAGCGTGTATTGCGGCTGAAGGAAAACAGTTTGAGCATTTGCTGTAAAGGTAAATCATCATCAGCAGCATTTTGACGCCCACTGTTGTGCAAGTCCTTAAGGGTCCTTGTGCGTTTTCATAATCGCTGTTTAATTAGGAAATTTTGAAAAATTTTCATCAGTTTTTCTTCAAATAAAAATTGTGCATAAGTTAACGAGTAATCTTCTATGTGTTATACCATTTTGGAATCCTTATTAAATGCGCCAACTTTTAAGGTTACTTGCCAAACTCTCGTAGTACATTTTTTTCCAGTACAGCCAGTTAAAGTTGAGCAAAGTTTTACTTTGGAATACTTGGTTGGGAAATAAGTGGCAATTTTTCCTGAACGAGAGAAGTTGGCAGTAAGGTTGAGACACCAGTTTGAAGATGCATTATTCATCATTACATTGTAAAAGTAAAATCCAAAAAAAGTTAATATTTGTAGTAACAGGAGTTGACAGACTGCCGTAGGGTGTGAAATTTCTATATTTTTTTCAAAGACCTATAATTTTCAAAACACATACATAATTTTTTTTTAAATATTTTTCTGATAGCTGTTATGACTTTGCCTGTCACCCGGTTTCGGCTTGACGTCGACTTCTGGGACACCCTGTATAAGTTGGGTTACTATTTTGAATGCTTGCCGTTTCGCCAACACGAGCGGTCAACATCTTTAGAAGGTGCGCTCTAGAAATATTACCATTGTTTTTCGGTGACTTACCTCTAAATTGTTGTCGTTATCATCCCCTTCGACCCTGCCGGAAATCAACTCCAGCTCGTGCGGTTTGAGTTTTCTCCGTCGCTTGTACTTCCTGGGGCCCAGTTGCGGTTGACGTTTCATCGCCGTGTTCATGTCGCAGTGATGGATCAAGTGTAGGATCAGGTCTTGCGAGGTGGCGAACATGTCCGAACAGACTGCACAGCAGTACGGTGTCATACTGAAAAAAATTCAGTTGTTGTTGTTGAAGATTTATTTAGCATTAATGCTACAATGTCAATTTTGTATAATGATTCGGTTACATATTTTTCTTCAATCCTTTTTCTGTGATTTTATATTCTTGCCTATTAAAATTACGTCACTGTGTATTTTGATTATTCATAAAGTGATTTTTTAATTGCACCTTAAACATTTTTAAAGTCGAACTTTGTTTAATATCATTATTAAATTTATTAAATTCAAATACTCCCTTTTGAAATATAGATTTACTAGTTATGCTACTATTACAATTTTGCAGATCAAAATCTATACTGCCGCTAGTTTCGTAGTTATGATAATGACTATTTAATTTTGTGAAGTTCTCGAAATGTGGGGGTAATAAATGATTTTTTAATTTGAATATGAAAACGAGAACTAAATAATATATAAAATTTTTCACATCCAACCACTGCAGTTCTTCTAACATAGACTTAATCCTTGCATATTTGTTTTTATTTAAAATGATTCTCATAGCTTTATTTTGTAGAATTTTTAATTTTAAAAATATGTTTTCATTTGCTGTAAACAAGATGGTTCAACAATATAAAAAATGGGGAAGAATTATAGTGTTATACACAATTTTTTTGGAATACATACTAAGATTATGGGAAACTCTATAGAAGTAATTTATCTTTTTCGATATTTTTGAAATAATGTTCGTGAATCAGTAGCTTACTATGCACATATATACCAAGATGTTTAAATGACTCGACTACTTCAATCTTTTCATCATTAATCATGAGCCTAATTGTATTGTCAACTAAATGTTTCCCTATTGACATACATTTTGTTTTATTAGTGTTTAATTTAAGTTTATCAACATTTAACCAATTCATAATTTTTTCAATATCACTAATAGTTCTAAAGCAGTGTCCAAATGCTTATGTGCTATATATATATATACAGGGTGTCCCAGAAGTCCACATACAGCGTGTTCAACCTCTCCTGCCCCGGGATTATGAGCCCCGAGTTGCTTTTTGTCGCACAATGTTAGAAAGACACAGGAAAGATCCACAGTTCTTTGAAAAAATTTTATGGTCCGATGCGACCACATTTAAGAAAGATGGGTACATGAACCTGCATAACTTACACGAGTGGCACGTAGCAAACCCACATTTGATGAGAGAAGATAAATCTCAATATCGCTTCAAGATAAACCATTGGACAGGAATTTTAAATGGTAAAATAATCGGTTCGTTTGAGTTCCTAGAGACTTTGACTGCTGAAGTTTATTTGGATTTTTTGAAAAATCATGTACAAAATTTATTGGTGGACGTGCCACTGAGTATTTACAGGGACATGTGGTTTCAGCATGATGGCTGCCCAGCGCACTATACACTCTCAGTGAGAGAGTATCTCGATCAAAACTTTCCAGGCAGATGGATAAGGCGGTCTGGTACAATACCGTGGCCAGCCCGATCACCTGATTTGAATCCTTTAGATTTTTTTACTGGGGAACTGTAAAAGAAAAAGTGTATTTCAAGCCGATTCAAAATGTAGCTGAGCTACGGCAAAGACTATTGGAAGCAGCTGAGTTTGTTAATAACCGTGAATTCTTTCGTTTAATAACCCGACCTTTTTTAAGAAGATGTCGAGCGTGTATTGCGGCTGAAGGAAAACGGTTTTAGCATTTGCTGTAAAGGTAAATCATCATCAGCAGCATTCTGACGCCCACTGTTGTGCAAACAGTCATCCTTAAGGGTCCTTGCGCGTTTTCATAATCGCTGTTTAATTAGGAAATTTTGAAAAATTTTCATCAGTTTTTCTTCAAATAAAAATTGTGCATAAGTTAACGAGTAATCTTCTAAGTGTTATACCATTTTGGAATCGTTATTAAATGCGCCAACTTTTAAGGTTACTTGCCAAACTCTCGTAGTACATTTTTTTCCAGTACAGCCAGTTAAAGTTGAGCAAAGTTTTACTTTGGAATACTTGGTTGGGAAATAAGTGGCAATTTTTCCTGAACGAGAAAAGTTGGCAGTAAGGTTGAGACACCAGTTTGAAGATGCATTATTCATCATTACATTGTAAAAATAAAATCCAAAAAAAGTTAATATTTGTAGTAACAGGAGTTGACAGACTGCCGTAGGGTGTGAAATTTCTATATTTTTTTCAAAGACCTATAATGTTCAAAACACATACATAAAATTTTTTTAAATATTTTTCTGATAGCTGTTATGACTTTGCCTATCACCCGATTTCGGCTTGACGTCGACTTCTGGGACACCCTGTATATAAGTGTATCGTCCGAAAATTTTTGAATTTTGCAGTCTTCTAAAATGCCAGAGATATCATTTATATAAATAATAAATAGTAACGGCCCTAATTTACTCCCCAGTGGCACCCCTACTGATATATTTTGAACAGTTGACAATATTTCCAACGTTAATTTTTTGACTTCTATTTACTAGAATATAAAAAATTCCATATAATCTATGGTTCTTATTTTTATATTTAAAATAAAAATTCATATTTTGCCAACATTTAGAACATTACATTTTGACAATTATTATACAAGGGGAAATATACAGGGTGGTCCATAAGTCCTTTGAAATTTCAAATTTGAATAAAATTTAACGGGTGAGCGTGAGCGGCGCGGGCGAGGTGGGGGCAGTATCTTCAGTGTCTGGGAATTCAGTCGCCATGGAGTGTTTCACTGGAGCGGATCGTGCTTTTTGTGTGCGCGCGTTTTATCAAAATAATGATTCGGCAACCATTGCGCGGCGTAAATATCGAGAATACCACAATTTACACAATTTTACAAAGTGTCCAACAGCTCAAACGATTAAGAACTGGGTTGCTAAGTTCGAAGAGACTGGTTCGACGTTAGATAAACAGCGGTGTGGTCGACCAAGGACAACTCGTATTGAAGAAAACATCAACATTGTGGCACAGTCTGTTCGTCAAAATCCTACCCAGTCTACTCGTAAGCGTTCCAGTGCACTAAACGTACCCAAAACATCTTTACAGCTGATTTTAAGGAAAGATTTACGTCTGCACGCTTACAAAATTCAGTTAGTGCAGGAATTAAAAGATAATGACGCTATTCAGAGACTAAACTTTGCGAATGAAATGTTGAATCGATTTTCTTCGCTCAATAATGTGTTGTTCTCGGACGAGGCTCACTTCCATTTAAACGGGCATGTAAATAAACAAAATTGCAGTTATTGGAGCCCCCAAAATCCAAGGCGTAAGCATCAGAAGCCCTTACACAGCCCTAAAGTTATAGTTTGGGCTGCTATGTCAGCGCATGGCATCGTAGGCCCTTATTTTTTTGAGGACGACAGAGGTCGCGCATTAACTGTTACTTCGGAGCGGTATGTAGCAATGATAGAAGAGTTTTTGACACCAGCGTTGCAGAATTTTCCAGGCTATAATACGCAGACCTGGTTTCAACAGGACGGAGCAACTGCCCACACCTCCAACACTTCTATGCCCGTCGTCTGTCAACTTTTTCCCAGCGAAAAGCAAAAATTTCTCGAAGAGGAGACATTTCCTGGCCACCACGTAGTCCAGATTTGACCCCAATGGACTTCTTTTTATGGGGCTACCTCAAGAGTAAAGTGTACGACACCACTCCGCGATCAGTTGATGTCCTGAAAGAAAATATCCGAAGAGAAATGGCAAGCATTACAGTGTTGACTTGCCGCGCAGTGATCGACAATTTTAGACGTCGTTTATATGAGTGCCGTGATCGTACTGGATTGCATTTAGACGATGTGATTTTTAAAACATAATTCCCATTCAATAAAGATGATAACAAAATATAATAATTCTTCATAATGTAACTAGTTTGGTTTTATTCCTTTTTTTCCAGCTCAAAGGACTTATGGGCCACCCTGTAGATTTCCATTTACAAAATTGCAATAGTAATATAACTAGCAAATCAATATTTCGGAAGGGATTACTTGAATTTAATAAAATAAATAATGATATACGGTCCTCTTGGAATTAAGTATGTTTGAAAGAAAATTGAAGCAGGAACATTTCGTGGACAGTAACATTTTTTAGAGACGATTATTTTTCTGGATATTTGTATCTTATGTAATTGTAGTTTTTTAAAGAATGTTATTGACGCCATCGTGCTCAATACATCTCAAACAAACCGTACAAAATATCTCTCAAAACAATCTTAGTTTTGAGCTTATTAAGAAGGTCTCTATCAAAATCGGTACCCGACATTCTTCCGTACGTTAGGTAGCAGCGCAATAAGATGTCATAATTGCCCATTTGAAGCTAAGATCAACGAGAGCTCCAAGTTACCCATTTTAATGTGTGTTTGTTGTGTTTAGTGGTGTCAAGAAACTGATTTGTATAATGACAAAACTATGCAGTGAATAAGATGAAGTACCTGTTAGAATATTTAGGATCGGGTCCAGAATGATGCGACCTGATGTGTTCTCGAAGTACCACCCTTTGATTGAAGGCTCTAGGACACACCGCACAAGCATAAGGTTTCTCCCCAGTATGGATCCTCTCGTGCTTCCTCAGCGTTCCACCGTCCGCAAACGCCTGTAATAAAATATAGTGAATATAGTAGCGATAGACGATATTTCCAGATCAGGAAGTACATCAAAAAATGCCTTATAAACACACGACAGTTATATAGAAATAAGTACGTTCAAGATTAATCTGTTTTAAAGTGATTTTTCAGCTAGTCTATTAGACCAAAATTGGTGAACTCTCAATTTTCGCAGACTGTACATACCACCTCCATTAAATTGAAAATAAAACCAATTTTTTGCTTATAGAAAAGCGTATTGTCACTTAACTTTTTTCCAAATATACAGGGTGTCCCAAAAACGGTGCATGGCTTTTCCTATTGGAAATGCCGCTCTATTACTCTTGTTCCATGACTTTTCGGTTGCCCTGTATACATAAAAAAATAATAATCTACCGATACAGGTTGCTATAAACAAAACCCAGGCTTCAGCTTCAATTTAATGCAGGTGGTATATGCAGTGCGAAAATCAAAAGATCGCCAATTTTGGCCTAACAAACTAGCTTAAAAATCGCTTTAAGATAAATTAATCATGAAATACTCTTCGGGATCTTGTAGGGAAAGGTTTTAACTTTTAACTAATACTTCACGATCTAAAAAATAGTGCTTTTTAATCGAATTTTCAGTCATTGAAAATGAGCATTTTTAGGGTTTTTCAGACATTGAATAGCTGGAAAATGACTAGCTTTAGATAAAAATTACCGAGGACTTTTCTTGTTCAGAGTGATGCCAGAAAGCAGAAATGAGCTTTTTTGTAATTACTTAAGGGAGAGTGGATTAAAAGATGGAACAAAAAGTGGTTCAGCAAAACCCGGATTACACTGGTCAACAAAATTTTAACTTTGTCGTGCCACACGGACTTTTTGAAATTTTTTACTTTAATTGGTGATTGTAAGAAAAAATAAACAGTTAAAAAAATTTGCTAGACAAGGATTTTATTCTATTGAGTAATTTGAAATATTAAGAAAAAACACAGATCTCGTAAAAAGTTATTTTTTTTATAAATGACTTAATAATCTAAGATTTTCTTGAATATTTAGCTTCTGGTTGGTCCCTTTTAATTGTCCAGCAGTAATCTGCTAACATAGTTGGGCTCCATTTGCCCTGGTACCGCTTTTCCATATTAGAAATGTCCTGATGGAACCTCTCACCGTGCTCGTCGCTGACAGCCCCTAAATTGTCAGGAAAAAAATCCAGGTGCGAGTCTAAAAAATGGATATTAAGTGACATGTTGCAACCCAATGCTTGATATGACAATAATAGCTCGCTAACCGACTCTCTGTAGCTGTCACTCTTGTGGTTACCCAAAAAATTTGCAACAACATTTTTAAAAGCCTTCCATGCAGATGTTTCTGAATCGCTTAATTTTTCTTCAAATCTTGAATCTTTTATTAACTCCCTAATTTGAGGGCCAACAAAAATACCCTCTTTTATCTTTGCATCACTTATTTTAGGGATTTTTTTTTTTAGATACAAAAATCCACTCCCATTGCGATCCATTGCCTTCACAAAATTTTTTATTAATCCTAATTTGATATGCAATGGTGGTAGAAGCACATTATTTGGCTGCACAAGGGGTAAATACTTTACGTTTTTTTGCCCAGGAACTAACGATGCACGCGTAGGCCATGTTTTTTTTATATAGTGATTAGTTCTGTCTCGGCTATCCCATTCACATAAAAAGCAGTAAAACTTTGTATAACCCAGCTGAAGTCCAAGTAATAGTGCAACAACTTTAAGATCACCGCAGATTTTGAAGGAATATGTACTGTAATTTATTTGTTCAAGTAAAAGTTTCATATTTTCACAGGTTTCTTTCATATTTGCAGCATGGGCCAGAGGTACAGACGGAAGCTTATTTCCATTATGCAATAACACTGCTTTTAGACTTGCTTTCGAAGAATCGATGAATAAACGCCACTGAGAGAGATCAAAATCTATGTCCAACATTTTCATAATCTAATTTATGTTATTGCAAAACACCAAATCTCCATCCTGAGAAAAATACGTTCTGAAGTGTTGATCACGGTTTCGAAAATAGCTAACTTTTGTATTATGATGTAGCAAATTCCATTCTTTTAGACGTGATCCTAATAGTTCTGACTGCTTTTTTGACAAATTTAAATCCCGAACCAAATCATTTAGGTCTCCTTGAGTTATCAAATGTGGCTCGTTTACAATTCCTTTTAACTCAAAGTCATCGTCCTCGTCAACACATTCACCTGAAGTGGACGGTTGTGAATTGTTCTCAACAGACGTAGTTGCAACTGGTATTAGTTCTGGCAATTTTTTCCAATGAGAGACTGGTCTTATAGCCGAAGATAAGTTAGGGTAAATAACTGTGGTTTTTTTCTTGTAATTTATACCTTCTATGTCTGTGAGACAAAAATAGCAACCTGAAACGTGATCTCGCTGTACAGTCCATATCATGGGTACAGCAAACGGCATAGGTCGTGCACCTTTCTTCCAGTCAGTTAAATTTTTCATACACGTTATGCAACAGACATGAGGGGCCCAGGATTTGTCTTGATGGGCCACAGAAAAACCAAAACATTGGTGATAACACTCCAACACAAGATTCGTCGTTGTTTTTTAATGTTAGTTCTCCGCAGACATAACAGAAAGAGTTAGGATCATTATTACACTTCATCGACATATTCACAGGGTTAATAAATCACAAAAAGTGTTCAAATTCAACAACAAATATTTTTATAAGGATTTACTTGTAAGCGTTTCTGTTAATTTATTGTCGTAGTACTAGTTATGAGTATTACCGTATCACAACAAATATGAGGCTAATAGACATATGACAGCTGTCATGTAATAATGAGGGTAGACTGATAAAACAAAATTAGCTGTCAAAGTTCGTGTGGCAAAACCAGTGTTGACCAGTGTTATTATTCTTCTCAGTTTATATCTGTTCATAAGTGCGTTCACTTTTACCAACTCAATTCCGTCCAGCGCCTTGTTTACTTCAAATATACTGTATTGCCACTATCTACTGAATCGCCCTGTACATTTACCTTCCAACAGAACCTGCACCCGTACGGCCGCTCTCCGGTATGTATCCGGATGTGAATCTGTTGCGAGCTGCGCGATCCAAACGTTTTTCCGCACTCCCGACACGGGAACTGCCTGCCGCTGACACTCGAATGGCTGTGCCGGTGGTTCATCAGGGAACGACCGTCTGGGAACTCCTCTCCGCACACCTCGCAGCTCACCACTTTGTTCCTACGGCAAACAACGAATCAGCGTTCCTGAATCATAGCCAAATCCAAGAGATAACATGTAACAGCTCTTTTTTTTTGAACGTAGCAATACCACTCCCAGAAGTCGACGTCAAGCCGAAACCGGGTGATAGGCAAAGTCATAACAGCTATCAGAAAAATATTTAAAAAAATTTTATGTATGTGTTTTGAAAATTATAGGTCTTTGAAAAAGATATAGAAATTTCACACCCTACGGCAGTCTGCCAACTTTTCTCGTTCAGGAAAAATTGCCACTTATTTCCCAACCAAGTATTCCAAAGTAAAACTTTGCACAACTTTAACTGGCTGTACTGGAAAAAAATGTACTACGAGAGTTTGGCAAGTAACCTTAAAAGTTGGCGCATTTAATAAGGATTCCAAAATGGTATAACACTTAGAAGATTACTCGTTAACTTATGCATAATTTTTATTTGAAGAAATACTGATGAACATTTTTCAAAATTTCCTAATTAAACAGCGATTATGAAAACGCACAAGGACCCATAAGGATAACTGTTTGCACAACAGTGGGCGTCAAAATGCTGCTGATGATGATTTACCTTTACAGCAAATGCTCAAACTGTTTTCCTTCAGCCGCAATACACGCTCGACATCTTCTTAAAAAAGATCGGGTTATTAAACGAGCGAATTCACGGTTATTAACAAACTCAGCTGCTTCCAATAGTCTTTGCCGTAGCTCAGCTACATTTTGAATCGGCTTGAAATACACTTTTTCTTTTACAGTTCCCCAGTAAAAAAATCTAACGGATTCAAATCTGGTGACCGGGCTGGCCACGGTATTGTACCAGACCGCCCTATCCATCTGCCTGGAAAGTTTTGATCGAGATACTCTCTCACTGAGAGTGCATAGTGCGCTGGGCAGCCATCATGCTGAAACCACATGTCCCTGTAAATACTCAGTGGCACGTCCACCAATAAATTTTGTCATGATTTTTCAAAAAATCCAAATAAACTTCAGCAGTCAAAGTCTCTGGGAACTCAAACGGACCGATTATTTTACCATTTAAAATTCCTGTCCAATGGTTTATCTTGAAGCGATATTGAGATTTATCTTCTCTCATCAAATGTGGGTTTGCTACGTGCCACTCGTGTAAGTAATGCAGGTTCATGTACCCATCTTTCTTAAATGTGGTCTCATCCGACCATAAAATGTTTTCAAAGAACTGTGGATCTTTCCTGTATCTTTCTAACATTGTGCGATAAAAAGCAACTCGGGGCTCATAATCCCGGGGCAGGAGAGGTTGAACACGCTGTATGTGGTATGGATGAAGCACATCACTGCTATTGCACACTTTGATACCGATCAGTACTCCTTCGTTTACTGCGCATCTTTACATGTTCGTGCTTGTTGATTTCGTACTGTTACTAATTTTGGATTCGTGAACTGGACTGTTGATCGCTTGTGATTTGGATTTGGACTGTTTAATTGCTCTTCAAAACAACATTTGCTTTCCTTAGACTATCTTTGATAGTGTGATTGTGCAGTGCCGCTATGTCCGTGTACACCGTACAAGAATATGCTAACATGCACCTCATTTATGGGGAATGCAGATGCAACGCTAGTGCTGCAGCGAGACTTTACTGTGAGAGGTACCCGAATGCAGCTCGTCATCCAGATCATCGAGTGTTCACAAATGTGCACCGCTTACTGTTCTCAGAGGGCCAACTACCAAACCAATGCCACGGTGAGAGAAGATCTTTCCTCCCTTACGAAGACGTGGTGCTAGGAGCTGTCGAAGAAGACCCGAGTACTTCAGTGCGTGCAATAGAACTAAAAACAGGTGTGCCCAAAAGTACAGCCCATAGAATCTTGCAAAAAAACGTGCTCCATCCATACCACGTACAGCGTGTTCAAGCTCTTCTGCCCCGGGATTATGAGCCCCGAGTTGCTTTTTGTCGCACAATGTTAGAAAGACATCGGAAGATCCACGGTTCTTTGAAAAAATTTTATGGTGAGATGAGACCACATTTAAGAAAGATGGGTACATGAACCTGCATAACTTACACGAGTGGCACGTAGCAAACCCACATTTGATGAGAGAAGATAAATCTCAATATCGCTTCAAGATAAACCATTGGACAAGAATTTTAAATGGTAAAATAATCGGTCCGTTTGAGTTCCCAGAGACTTTGACTGCTGAGGTTTATTTAGGTCTTTTGCAAAATCATTTAGAAAATTTATTGGAGGACGTGCCACTGAGTATTTACAGGGACATGTGGTTTCAGCATGATGGCTGCCCAGCGCACTATGCACTCTCAGTGAGAGAGTATCTCGATCAAAACTTTCCAGGCGGATGGATAGGGCGGTCTGGTACAATACCGTGGCCAGCCCAGTCACCAGATTTGAATCCATTAGATTTTTTTTACTGGGGAACTGTAAAAGAAAAAGTGTATTTCAAGCCGATTAAAAATGTAGCTGAGCTACGGCAAAGACTATTGGAAGCAGCTGAGTTTGTTAATAACCGTGGATTCGCTCGTTTAATAACCCGATATTTTTTAAGATGTCGAGCCTGTATTGCGGCTGAAGGAAAACAGTTTGAGCATTTGCTGTAAAGGTAAATCATCATCAGCAGCATTTTGACGCCCACTGTTGTGCAAACAGTTATCCTTAAGGGTCCTTGTGCGTTTTCATAATCGCTGTTTAATTAGGAAATTTTGAAAAATTTTCATCAGTTTTTCTTCAAATAAAAATTGTGCATAAGTTAACGAGTAATCTTCTAAGTGTTATACCATTTTGGAATCGTTATTAAATGCGCCAACTTTTAAGGTTACTTGCCAAACTCTCGTAGTACATTTTTTTCCAGTACAGCCAGTTAAAGTTGAGCAAAGTTTTACTTTGGAATACTTGGTTGGGAAATAAGTGGCAATTTTTCCTGAACGAGAAAAGTTGGCAATAAGGTTGAGACAGCAGTTTGAAGATGCATTATTCATCATTACATTGTAAAAATAAAATCCAAAAAAAGTTAATATTTCTAGTAACAGGAGTTGACAGACTGCCGTAGGGTGTGAAATTTCTATATTTTTTTCAAAGACCTACAATTTTCAAAACACATACATACAATTTTTTTAAATATTTTTCTGATAGCTGTTATGACTTTGCCTATCACCCGGTTTCGGCTTGACGTCGACTTCTGGGACACCCTGTATAAATGAAGACTTGAAACTTGTCTCAAAATGGTTAGCATCTAACAGACTAAAATTAAATACAAGTAAAACGAAAGCCTTGTTAATCGGAAAAAAACAATGTACAAATGTTGAACTGAATATTGATGGTGAAGATATTGAATTCGTAGAAAATTTTAAATACCTGGGGGTTTTTGTTGACTCTCGATTAATTTTTGATATTCATTATGAAAAAGTTATAAATAAGATTAGTAATAAAGTGGGATATTTATCGAGAGTTTCTGGATGTCTGAGTTCAAATAGCAGAAAAATTATCTATAATACCATCATTCTTCCAAATTTATTGTACTGTTCGACTATTCTATATTTAGCAAATAATTCGATTTTTGAAAGACTGCAAATTTTACAAAATAAATGCATGAGAATAACACTAAATAAAGGTAAATATACTCCAATTAGGCAAATGCTTAGCAAATTAAAATGACTCGATGTAAAATTTTTTATCAAATATCTTGTTGGCTTGAATTTACTAGTTCTAAGTTGTTTAAAATTATTCTGTTTATGTAGCCAAATGTGCTAAATAAATCTGTCTACTACTACTACTACCGCTTGTCGATGTTTACGTCCAATCAATCTTGGATTCGAATGGGGTTTACAAGTCACATAATTTTTAATCAGCGTGTATATCAAACATGGAGAATTTTTAAAACGTTTTTCCTTACCTATGCGACAGCATATGCCTCTTCAGTCGCGCCTTGTTATGGAACGTTTTCGCGCATTTTGGACAATTGAAAACCTTCTCCGTCGAATGTTCCCATGAGTGTTTTAGAAGAGTGCGACGATCTTTACACGCTCTTCCGCACAACATACATGTGTTGGGAGGGAGGTTTTTGCCATGTTTCGCCTGAAAAAATAAACGGGGTTGATAGAACTTTTCCAGCTTGCTGATATCTGGAATAAAGAATAACATGTTGCGGCTTCTCCAAATAGGGTGTCTCTGGCTTCTCTTGCTGATTGTGAAACGGGTATAAAGCTTTATTAATTGTCGAATTGCTACCGATTTCTACAGAGTGTAAAGCCGCCTCTAGATTTACCTGCACATGTACTGCCAGCGACGTCTCATCTGGCAACACTTCCCCGCAAACCATGCATCGGTGCTCCGTAGACCTAGCGTGGACTTCAGCGTGCGCCAACAGGTCCAAAGCTTCTGTGAAAGACTCTCCGCACACGTTGCACACGTGCGCGTATTCTGCCTCGTTCCCGTACTCTTCCTTAACGTGGACACGTTGATGGCGACGCAGGTTGTCCTGTCTAAAAAAAAACAATGATAGTTGGAGTCTCTGCTTATCTTTTTATCTGCTACTGAGCAAGGCATTAGTGAACATGAGCAACAATTGAAATGTGGATATACAGCAATGGAAAAAGTTAAGGGATAACGTGAAAATTGACAATTTTTAGTGCTGTATCTCAGTAAAAAATGGTCGTAATGAGGTTTTCGGAGAAGCATTGTTGCGTTTCAAATATCTGGTTTTTTGATCGTTTAGTCGAAAAATTTTAGAAGCTGTGAGATCCACGCAATGCTAGCAGTTCCCAAAATGAAAAATTCTAAAAGATGCAGCGATATGAGACCAGTAAATGTGTTACCAGACATTGACAAATTATTAGAGTCCATAGTGCATGACCAATTAATGCAGCTTAAAGAAAACAAAATTTTAGTGGAGGCGAGCAGGCTTTCGAAAAAAATATTCCACAGAAACAGCTTTCCAGTTGGTAACTGAGAATTGGAGAAGAGCCATAGACTCAGAAGAAGTTGTCATAGCAGTATTTTTGGATTTGAAGAGGGCATTTGAAACGATTGATTGAGATATTTTGTTAGGTAAATTGAAGGCATATGGTACAGGGTGGTCCATAAGTCCTTTGAAATTTCAAATTTGAATAAAATTTAACGGGTGAGCGTGAGCGGCGCGGGCGAGGTGGGGGCAGTATCTTCAGTGTCTGGGAATTCAGTCGTCATGGAGTGTTTCACTGGAGCGGATCGTGCTTTTTGTGTGCGCGCGTTTTATCAAAATAATGATTCGGCGACCATTGCGCGGCGTAAATATCGAGAATACCACAATTTTACAAAGTGTCCAACAGCTCAAACGATTAAGAACTGGGTTGCTAAGTTCGAAGAGACTGGTTCGACGTTAGATAAACAGCGGTGGGGTCGACCAAGGACAACTCGTATTGAAGAAAACATAAACATTGTGGCACAGTCTGTTCGTCAAAATCCTACCCAGTCTACTCGTAAGCGTTCCAGTGCACTAAACGTACCCAGAACATCTTTACAGCGGATTTTAAGGAAAGATTTACGTCTGCACGCTTACAAAATTCAGTTAGTGCAGGAATTAAAAGATAATGACGCTATTCAGAGACTAAACTTTGCGAATGAAATGTTGAATCGATTTTCTTCGCTCAATAATGTGTTGTTCTCGGACGAGGCTCACTTCCATTTAAACGCGCATGTAAATAAACAAAATTGTCGTTATTGGAGCCCCGAAAATCCAAGGCGTAAGCATCAGAAGCCCTTACACAGCCCTAAAGTTACAGTTTGGGCTGCTATGTCAGCGTATGGCATCGAAGGCCCTTATTTTTTTGAGGACGACAGAGGTCGCGCATTAACTGTTACTTCGGAGCGGTATGTAGCAATGATAGAAGAGTTTTTGACACCAGCGTTGCAGAATTTTCCAGGCTATAATACGCAGACCTGGTTTCAACAGGACGGAGCAACTGCCCACACCTCCAACACTTCTATGCCCGTCGTCTGTCAACTTTTTCCCAGCAAAGTAATTTCTCGAAGAGGAGACATTTCCTGGCCACCACGTAGTCCAGATTTGACCCCAATGGACTTCTTTTTATGGGGCTACCTTAAGAGTAAAGTTTACGACACCACTCCGCGATCAGTTGATGTCCTGAAAGAAAATATCCGAAGAGAAATGGCAAGCATTACAGTGTTGACTTGCCGCGCAGTCATCGACAATTTTAGACGTCGTTTATATGAGTGCCGTGATCGTAATGGATTGCATTTAGACGATGTGATTTTTAAAACATAATTCCCATTCAATAAAGATGATAACAAAATATAATAATTCTTCATAATGTAACTAGTTTGGTTTTATTCCTTTTTTTCCAGCTCAAAGGACTTATGGGCCACCCTGTATAACAGGAAGTGTTTTAGATTGGTTTAGAAATTATTTGTCTAAAAGGATGCAAGTTACAAAAGTTAATGACACTATTTCATCAAAAATTGAAAATACGTTGGGTGTTCCACAGGGCAGTATCCTGGGACCACTTCTTTTTATTTTATACATAAACGATTTACCTGCCATAGTCAAAAAATGCAAAATTCAGATTTTCGCCGATGACACTATGATTTATATAAGTACTAAAAATATTCAGTCTGGTATCTCTTACATAAATGAAGACTTGAAGCTTGTCTCAAAATGGTTAGCATCTAACAGACTAAAATTAAATGCAAGTAAAACGAAAGCCTTGTTAATCGGAAAAAAACAATGTACAAATTTTCAACTGAATATTAATGGTGAAGATATTGAATTCGTAGAAAATTTTAAATACCTGGGGGTTTTTGTTGACTCTCGATTAATTTTTGATATTCATTATGAAAAAGTTATAAATAAGATTAGTAGTAAAGTGGCATATTTATCGAGAGTTTCTGGATGTCTGAGTTCATATAGCAGAAAAATTATTTATAATACCATCATTCTTCCAAATTTCTTGTACTGTTCGACTATTCTATATTTAGCAAATAATTCCATTTTTGAAAGACTGCAAATTTTACAAAATAAGTGCATGAGAATAATACTAAATAAAGATAAATATACTCCAATTAGGCAAATGCTTAGCAAATTAAAATGGCTCAATGTAAAAAATTTTATCAAATATCTTGTAATGATATTCGTTTATAAAGTAAAAAATAATATATTTCCATCAAGTCTAACTAATTTAACATCATCAAATGTCGACCATCATTTACATAATACCAGAAATAAAGATGACTTCCATTTAATGACCAAAAAATATAACATATGCTACAAATCTGTATTCCATCAAGGGTTGATTGAATATAATAAATTATACTCGGAGATAAAAGACCAGAAAACTTTGACAAAATTTAAAGTAAAATTGAGAAATCACTTGTTAAATCTACAATTATAGGTTGCCCAGCATTTACATCATACACCATATGGCTTGAATTTGCTAGTTCTAAGTTGTTTACAATTATTCTGTTTATGTAGCCAAATGTGCTAAATAAATCTTTCTACTAAATAGCGTGAAGATAAAAGATGACACTTTTTTAATTTCTTTCACCGACTTGAAAAAATCTTTTTCAGCTAAGCCATTGCATGTCTTTAATAGCATGTTTATTCAGCTTCGATTTTCTTTTCAATACTACCAGTTCTTGCTGATACAGTAGCGGACAAAAATTTGGAAACAAGTAGACTTATGATCTATTTCATATACCTAAATTAAAATTGTGAAGGAACAGATAATATAAATATGTATTAAAGTCTAACTTTGGTTATCTTATCAATATTCAAATTCACTGAAAAAAAAACACGCGGTTTTTTAAATACCAGACATGTTGACATTTCTCAAAGATTAACAATGAACAAAGGGACGATTTCGAAAATTCTGAGTAAATATCAAGGACACGGATCAACAGCAACGCGGTCCATAACGCACTTTTTAAAAATTACTAAGCATGTTTTGAAACTTTCGTCCGCTACTGTATATCGAATTTTTAATGGAAACTTATCCTTTTGCTTGTGGTAACATCAAATCTAAGTGTGGTAACAGCATCAATGATCATTTATTTAAACACTTTTTCCATCCTTCATACGAGCTAGGAAAAAATCAGTGATTTATAACTTTTTTGGGAAACCAATAGCTGAATTTTGAGCGTGACTTTTACATCTCTATACAGGGTTATCCAAATTAAGTGTCCACCATTAGTAACTTTGTTATTAGTGAAAATACAAAGTTGTTTGAATTAGCAAACTAGTAGCATTTTTAACGCTGGTAAAAATGAGAAATAAAAAAAAACAATTGAGAGTCGTTATTTTGATTTTTTTCAGTAAAATAACATTTTTTTAAATGGAAACCCCTGTATATTATATTTTTTTCTGTTAAAGCATCAAATTTTAAACAAAAAAGTTCATAATGACTTTTCCGCTAAAGTCAAAAATAAAGTTAAATAACGATAAATATTTTTAATTATTTGCAGTATTATAATATTAAGACGGCTATGAAAACAACATGGCGTTCGCGATTTGACAGCATTAAGATAAGCGACAAATTGTTAAACTGGACATACTCGCAACTAGAAGGCTTTGTAAAACAATGATAAAATCAAATAATGTCAAACATTAGTGTAAATACTTGTTTATAAGCTTTATTGTGTCATTAATTTAAAGAAAAATGTTCTCCCATGAAGAAAAGTGTGATATGTTAGAATGCTATTTAGTGTGCAGAAAATCCTCCTTGAGAGCAAGAGAATACTACAGTGAATTATATCCCGCTCGCATTCAACCGTATGAACGATATTTTCTGAGACTTTATCGAAAATTTAGGGGCAACGAAAATGTTTTTGCTAAAACAAGGGCAAAAAAAGAATTCATAATAAGCGAGGCCACGGAAATTGCAGTTATTGGATATTTTGAAGCTTATCGTGAGAATTCAATAGCAGATATTCTCAAGGACTCTAATTTCAGTTATGGTACTGTTCAAAGGATTTTAAAAAAATACAAATTTATTCCGTATAAGTACCGACCAGTTCAAACGCTTTTGGCAGGGGATCCAGAGAGAAGACTTGTTTTTTGCCATTGGTATCTTAGCTTCTGTCGCCAAAATGTAAATAACTTTCGTTACCTTTTATGGACAGATGAATCAAATTTTTCAAATTCTGGAATGTTTAATAGAAAAAACCACCATTATTGGTCAAGAGAAAATCTTTTGTTAGTACATCCAAGAGGCCCACAAGTCCGTTTCAGTTTCAACGTTTGGTGCGGTATAATTGGTTCAAAAATTGTTGGCCCGTTCTTTTATGAGGGAACCCTAACTGGTGAAAGATATGTGGAATTTATGTCAGAAATTCTGACTAATTTCTTAGACGAATTGGATCTTATAAGTAGACATCATCTGCATTTTCAGCAAGATGGCGCACCTGCCCACAACTCCAGAGGTACTTATCATTTTCTAAGTACTACTTTTAATGATCAGTGGATAGGAACAAATGGCCCAATACAGTGGCCTCCCAGATCACCAGATCTAAACCCACTTGATTACTTCTTGTGGGGTTACTTAAAGAACCAAATTTACAAGCGAAGGTACGATAACCTTGACGCGTTAAAGACTGCAGTTAGGGAAAAGATAACCCAGATAGATGGTAGGACCATACTTAAGACAGTTCGAGCAGTTGAAAAACGTGCCCAAAAATGTATTGAAGAACAAGGTGGTGTTTTCGAGCATCTTCTTTAAAAAAAATTGTTATTGTATTTTGTAAGATTATAAGTTGATGTTGAAAATAAAGTTTGTCGATACAATTTAATTGTTTCAGATTGGAGGCCATAACTTCAACAATTTGTAACCTAGGAGAAAAGTTATTGTAAGCTTTTTTGTTTAAAATTTGATGCTTTAACAGAAAAAAATATAATATACAGGGGTTTCCATTTAAAAAAATGTTATTTTACTGAAAAAAATCAAAATAACGACTCCAATTGTTTTTTTTATTTCTCATTTTTACCAGCGTTAAAAATGCTACTAGTTTGCTAATTCAAACAACTTTGTATTTTCACTAATAACAAAGTTACTAATGGTGGACACTTAATTTGGATAACCCTGTATACCCATTATATGAATTTCAGAAAAATGAAAGGTTCACGTTTATTGCTGAATTCTTGAAAAAGATTTTTTGCATAAATATGAACGCAAATGCGTAAAAAGCTCAATAACATCCTCTACGAAATTTTGTTAAAAACAACAACAGAAAAGTCAGAGTGAAATTTTAGAGGATTATTGTGGGTATATCGAGCTGTAAAAGTAATTCTCGACACCAGTCATTTTGTCAACCAAAAAGCCTTTCACTACTCATTTTTCCTGTTTTTTTTTAGCCCATATGAAAAATATTTTTCCACAAATTAATGATCATTGATTCTCTTAGAGAATCCATTGCAGTTTCTGAAACCACCCTTAGATTTTGTGTATGATGATTAGTTCCTGATATATCCATGATCAAAGTCAAAAGGTGTCCTTTTTTATCAAAAATTCAATACGTCAAGAAATAGGCGTATCAGGCTTTAAAAAAAAACAAATTATCGGAAAAACATTTTGCCAAGTTTGTGAAGCTAAACAGAAAAATTATAAAGTTTCTATATTTTTTATTATCCTAAAATTGCTTGCAACTTGCGCTTTCAATTTTTTTTACCGAAACATCCAAAAACCAGTCGTTTTAAGCTCTAAAATGCTTCTCTTACAGACTTTAATGGACCATTTTTTGCTGGAACACAGCACTTGAAAGAACCACTGAAAATTGTATGTTAATGCTTCATTATTACCTGTGGAATGACAGGCCACACGTGGTACAATAGAAGGTACCATACTTGGAATCCTCTTCCGAATAATCCGCGTCTTCGTCACCATCATCGTATTCTTCGAGTTCGCCATGTTTCTGCTTCTTGTGCTCCCGCATCTGCCCAGAATCCCAGAACATTTCGCCGCATTTCTGACACTCGAACGGACTATCACCATCTGCATGCAATCTGAAAATTAAACGATCGAATTTAATCTCAAATAACTCCAGACTATCAATGTAAGGTAAACCAGCAAACACGTACAACGAACTAATTTCTTTATATTTTGGCGGGCTATTTCTGCCTTTAAATTTTCTTGATAACATTCCGTAACACCTTAAAAATACGGGCGTAATTCACATACCTCGTATGAGAATATAGGGCTTTCTCTCTAGCAAATCCAACACCACAGTGTTGGCAAACGAACGGTTTCCTTGGATCCAATACTGGAAACCGTGCCTCTTCTTGTTGATCTTCCGGTAAAAATGGATATTCTTTCTGGACATTGTTCCCTATCTGCTCCATATCTTCGGCGACGTAGTTGTAAGAACGAGAACTTGATGCAACTGAAACAAGAAAAAAAAAAGGAAATATGCTATAAATCATCCAGCTATTTGCAAACTGTTCCCGCGCAGTTTTCTCCATTTTTGTAGCGAGTTTTCACAATAATTAAACGTTGCTCGTTTGACGTCTAATCGCGTGGTCTGGACTTGACAGCTGTCATCAAGTAAACACCACACTATTTGTAGAAAAAAAATGGCGTCAAATTCAAATCCGGCGCTCTTGTTGAGACACCCTTCATTAAATAGTTGAAGGTTTTGAAATCATAAAAGTGTAAACTACAGCACTGATGAGGTTTCCATTCTTCCTTCACACTCCTACTTTTTCCAATTGAAACTGGACGATACGAACTAGAACCGTTACAAGCTTTACTTTGCAAAGTATCCAAAAATACAATCAAATGATGCAGTTTTAAATATTTAATAAAAAAAATACATCTCCATGAATGAAATATGTGTTTACGGTATTAGATTCATGTAAATAACACTGGACAACAAATTTTAGTTTTTTAATTGTATCTTGTGGGGAAAGTGCACTTCTTTGTTAATTTTGGGCGCTGAATCCGAAAATGACAATGAAATAAAAAAATTAGTTGCGGTTTAGAAAAAAAACTTGTTATTTTTAAGGATATATTAAAAAAAGTAACAAGATTCATATACTTATAAGAATCACTATATGCGCTGTCTTTTTGCTGTTCTTTTACGGATCGTTTCTGGAGCATCTCTACCAAGAGTCCAACAGTAGTCTGCAAGCATGGAAGGATTCCACTTTCCCTGGTACCTTTTTTCCATTGTTGAAATAGTTGTCAGCTTTTCTATTTCCCAAGAAATTAGTGAGCACCAGACGGAAATCATTCCAAGCAGTTTTGTCAATACCTGTTAAAGTGTTTTTAAACTGTGCATTTTTCAAAATATTTCGAATCTGTGGCCCAACAAAAATACCTTCTTTAACCTTTGCCTCACTTAGTCTTGGAAATTTCTGACGCAGGTATTGAAAAGCTGACCCATCTCTATCTAATGCCTTGACAAAGTTTTTCATTAGGCCCAACTTGATATGCAGTGGTGGTAATAAAATTTTGTTCGAATCTACTAATGGCATATGCTGTACATTTTTTTGACCTGGCTCTAGGAATTGACGAGCAGGCCAGTTTTGTCTGGTGTAATGAAGTGCCTTTGCCCGACTGTCCCATTCACACAAAAAACAGCAAAACTTTGTGTAGCCTAGCTGCAGCCCAAGTGAAAGTGCAACAACTTTCAAATCGCCACAAATATGCCATTGGTGCTCATCGTATTTTATGCATGTCAATAGGTACTTCATATTGTCATATGATTCTTTCATGTGAACTGCATACCCTACAGGAAGAGATGGTAAAATATTTCCAATATGCAATAACACTGCCTTTAAACTCAATGTTGAACTGTCTATAAACAATCTTCATTCTTCTGTGTTATAGTTTATATTTAAAGCCGCCAGTAAGCCGTTAATGTTACTGCAGAAAACCAAGTTATTCTCCATATTGAAAAATGGTTCTAAGCCTTTGTGGCGTTTACGAAAAACACATACCGTAACATCGTCTTCTAACAAGTTCCACTGCTGCAGTCTTGATCCAAGTAACTCTGCCTTACATTTTGGAAGTTCTAAATCTCTTACAAGATCATTTAATTCTGACTGTGTTATTTTGTGCGGTTGGTGGCATGACGTGTTCGGTATAAAATCAGGATCTCTTGACGTTGATGGCATATCTTCTTCCTGACGAATCACTCGATCGCCATGATCTGATTCGTTTTCTGATTCGCAAATGTAGGATTCTGGGGGTTTTGGGATAGGATTTTCGTCACTGTGAGGCACAGGTCTCATCGCAGATGGTATGTTTGGGTAGTTAATAACCGATTTTTTTTTCTTGGACATACCTGTGGCTTGTCCAACACAAGGTATCATGCAAAAGTAACAATCATTAATATGATTTGTAGGCTCTCTCCAAACCATTGGGACAGCAAAGCGCATAGACCGTTTTTTGCCATTTAACCAGCTCCTCAGACTTGAAGCACATGCATTACAGCAGATGTGGGGTGCCCACTGTTTGTCTTGATCACCTAGTTTACAACCGAAATAAAGCTGATATGCCTTTGTTATTAGTGGAGTAATAGACCGTCTCTGAGACGCAAAAGTCACATCACCACACACGTAACAAAACTGATCTGGATTGTTTACACACTTTCGAGACATCTTGCATGAACGCTCTCAGCCAACTGAGGAAAAAATGGCTAATATAAAACAATATATGTATAATGTACACGTATGTATAACGTAACACAATCATGCCGATTACATCATCTTTCCTTGTCGAATATAAAAATGTAGCACGTGCATTCTTGTGAATTACAGTATATTAACACTGTCACAGCAGGAACACATATAATTACCGTATCTCTAAAAGTTGAACTAATATTGAAAAAATAAGTTTCATTCCGGGTTTAGCTCATTAAAAATAGTAATATTTTGATGATTTTATTAGAGATATTTTTTGGCTGTTGATCAGTGTAATCGATAGAAAATACAAAATAAAACATGCACATTCCCTGGTCTTGAAAACGAAAGAATAGAATAACCAGGAGAGAAGGTTCTATTACCTTTATCGGATAACTTTTCATGCCCGCTTCGACGTTTGTTTAAATAACTTGGCAAGTGCATCCAATGTTTTAGGAATTTTATATCATTGAATGTTTAATTACAAAGTTAACTTAGTCTTTAGAGATGAGACTGAAGCATAGGATGGCCAGACTACCACACTTTTTGCCCATGAGAATGACCCGGAGAGCGATTTTAACGTTGATTCAGTTTCTAGAAGTAATAGAACCCCACCCTCAATCTATCAGTTGTTCCTCCATTTTCAAGAACTAACTCCCTGATCTAAACCCACGTATCAGATTGTTACAAGTAAAAAACGATTGAGAAAACATTCGCTTTCGTTCAAGAAAGTGATATGAGATGAGACATTGATATTCTTCATGATTACCTCCATAATTCTCCAAATCATCCCTAACTTTGGACCCCTTCTTCTTCTTTTTCACCACCTGTGCTTTCATCCTCTTCTTTCTATCATCATCACCGTCCAGCTCTATGGTATCTAATTCTTCTTCTAAAAGCGTGCCTTCAGGTATATATGCATGTATCTGTAAGAATAATAAAAATGATGCCCAATGACATGCTGTACTTACGCACAATTTCCATAGTCACAATCAAAAACAGTGATACGACAGTCATTTTCAAAGAATCAGGTACCCCGTATTCTTATCTTCTGGTGGAATGTTTGTTTTGCATCCCTACTTACCTTGAGATGGTTCATGAGGTCGTTCTTCCTCATGTACCTCACGCCGCACAGGTTGCATCCGTGAGGTCTATCCGTCTGATGGGCGACCATGTGGTTCATGAGGTTCGCTTTCTTCCTGAACCTGCGACTGCAAAAATCGCACGGATACGGCCTTGCCGCCGTGTACTCGTCCTGATCGGTGGGCAGAGGGATGTCGCATTCGTCCTGGTTCGCGTCTACGGTGCCCACTGCTCCCTCGGAACCCACCACTTAAAAAAAGTTAAGTCGAAAAAAGTTGAATACATGCTTGATTGAATGATAGACTCCTTTGGGGTCTTAGATAAAGTAGACCCATTTTTATGACAAACGTTTTACCACCCGATTTTTCTACAGTCTACAATACACATTTTTGAGTATCAAGCAATGAACTATCCTGGTTTAATAACTACTTGTCGGGACGCACACAGTGTCAGATACGCTTATTTAATGGAATTATGACCCTAGCATTTGTAGTCAACTCATATGTACTTTGCGTTGCAACAAAAAATAAATAGTGATACTAGAAAATATCAACTATACACTCACCAATTTCCTCAGCACATCCCTCCCCCCAATCCCCAGAAATAACTTCTTCTTGTACCACATGCTCAACAACTTCTTCTTCTACTTCTTCTGTGGTGACGTATTCTTCAGCGACAGCATCTTGTTGATGTTCCATCATTAGCATATTGTCAGTTAGGTACATGATGGATTCTGCAGCTTCCACTGTCCCATCATCTTGCTGGATGTATTTCAAGAAAAAATATAATTGAAAATGTGCGCCTTCAACAAGTTTTTCAATAGATACTTCAGGATTTAAAATTAGAGGCACTTTTCAATGTCTCAGTCTAGATGTTTAGGGTGAACATTTTTGAGAAGGAAAAACGCGTCTCAATTGTGCAAATCTACTAAAAAAAGTTTGCTTTCATTTTGATAGGGCTAGGATAATTATGTCATTGTCACAGGCTCACTTTCCTAATAGATCGATACATAGGTAGATGAGTCTTGTTGTTTGAAGAATAACATGATTCTTATTGACAAAGTGACTCAAAGCTAAGCTGCAGAAAAATTATATTTGCAGATTTTATAGCCTATTTTTGTAATGATTGATAACACTGGACAACAAATTTTAGTTTTTTAATTGTATCTTGTGGGAAAAGTGCACTTCTTTGTTAATTTTGGGGCGCTTAATCCAAAAATGACAATGAAATAAAAAAATTAGTTGCGGTTTAGAAAAAAAACTTTTTATTTTTAAGGATATATTGAAAAAAGTAACAAGATTCATATACTTATAAGAATCACTATATGTGCTGTCTTTTTGCTGTTCTTTTATGGATCGTTTCTGGAGCATCTCTACCAAGAGTCCAACAGTAGTCTGCAAGCATGGAAGGATTCTACTTTCCCTGGTACCTTTTTTCCATTGTTGAAATATCCTGATGAAAACGTTCGCCGTGCTCATCACTTACGGCTCCGCAATTGTCAGGAAAAAAGTCCAGGTGTGAGTGTAGGAAATGTATCTTAAGAGACGTATTACAGCCCATCTTTTGATACGATGACAGCATATTTTTGACAAGGGTTTTACAGTTGTCAGCTTTTCTATTTCCCAAGAAATTAGTGACCACCAGACGGAAATCATTCCAAGCAGTTTTTTCAATACCTGTTAAAGTGTTTTCAAACTGTATCTTTCAAAATATTTTGAATCTGTGGCCCAAAAAAATACCTTCTTTAACCTTTGCCTCACTTAGTCTTGGAAATTTCTGACGCAGGTATTGAGAAGCTGATCCATCTCTATCTAATGCCTTGACAAAGTTTTTCATTAGGCCCAACTTGATATGCAGTGGTGGTAATAAAATTTTTTTCGAATCTACTAATGGCATATGCTGTACATTTTTTTGACCTGGCTCTAGGAATTGACGAACAGGCCAGTTTTGTCTGGTGTAATGAAGTGCCTTTGCCCGACTGTCCCATTCACACAAACAACAGCAAAACTTTGTGTAGCCTAGCTGCAGCCCAAGTAAAAGTGCAACAACTTTCAAATCGCCACAAATATGCCATTGGTGATCATCGTATTTTATGCATGTCAATAGGTACTTCATATTGTCATATGATTCTTTCATGTGAACTGCATACCCTACAGGAAGAGATGGTAAAATATTTCCAATATGCAATAACACTGCCTTTAAACTCAATGTTGAACTGTCTATAAACAATCTCCATTCTTCTGGGTTATAGTTTATATTTAAAGCCGCCAGTAAGCCGTTAATGTTACTGCAGAAAACCAAGTTATTCTCCATATTGAAAAATGGTTCTAAGTCTTTGTGGCGTTTACGAAAAACACATACCGAAACATCGTCTTCTAACAAGTTCCACTGCTGCAGTCTTGATCCAAGTAACTCTGCCTTACATTTTGGAAGTTCTAAATCTCTTACAAGATCATTTAATTCTGACTGTGTTATTTTGTGCGGTTGGTGGCATGACGTGCTCGGTATAAAATCAGGATCTCTTGACGTTGATGGCATATCTTCTTCCTGACGAATCACTCGATCGCCATGATCTGATTCGTTTTCTGATTCGCAAGTGTAGGATTCTGGGGGTTTTGGAATAGGATTTTCGTCACTGTGAGGCACAGGTCTCATCGCAGATGGTATGTTTGGGTAGTTAATAACCGATTTTTTTTTCTTGGACATACCTGTGGCTTGTCCAACACAAGGTACCATGCAAAAGTAACAATCATTAATATGATTTGTAGGCTCTCTCCAAACCATTGGGACAGCAAAGCGCATAGACCGTTTTTTGCCATTTAACCAGCTCCTCAGACTTGAAGCACATGTATTACAGCAGATGTGGGGTGCCCACCGTTTGTCTTGATCACCTAGTTTACAACCGAAATAAAGCTGATATGCCTTTGTTATTAGTGGAGTATTAGACCGTCTCTGAGACGCAAAAGTCACATCACCACACACGTAATAAAACTGATCTGGATTGTTTACACACTTTCGAGACATCTTGCATGAACGCTGTCAGCCAACTGAGGAAAAAATGGCTAATATAAAACAATATAATGTACATGTATGTATAACGTAACACAATCATGCCGATTACATCATCTTTCCCTGCCGAATATAAAAATGTAGCACGTGCATTCTTGTGAATTACAGTATATTAACACAGCAGGAACACATATAATTACCATATCTCTAAAACTTGAACTAATATTGAAAAAATAAGTTTCATTCCGGTTTTAGCACATTAAAAATAGTAATATTTTGTTGATTTTATTTAGGATATTTTTTGGCTGTTGATCAGTGTAATTATATCAGCAGATTGAAATCGGGGTGTGATATGAAAGTCAAAGTGGGCTTCTTCTGATATTTTCTTATCTCTTCCTTTGCTCTTACAAGTTGTTGCTGGTATGATAAAGAAAATGTTCTACAAAAGAGGCTATTGGGTATTGAAGTGTAATAGATCATCAAAATACCTTGTAATAAAATATTCTGCTTCTTAAGACATTTCATCACTTATTCATCAGCAGTTTTAGTTATGGAACTGATGAAGAAATTTACAATTTTTGAATTTTGAAAAATCTGAGCCATACCTGAATTGATTCATGGGCTGACAAAGCCATGCCATCATGGTCATGGCCTATATTTTGTTCAACTACCGTTTGTTCTTCCCCTTCTTCTGTGACATGATCAGTCATAACAACCTCTCCTTCCTCTACAACTTCTTCTACAGTCACTTCTTCACCACCATGGTATTCATCTGATTGGAGGATCTCAGACTCAATGCCACATATCACCTTAAAGAGTTGAATCAATAAAACATTAAAATATTAATAGGTTCTTACTTGTACTTAGTATTAAAAAACAAAATGTAACTCAAAAGAAATAAGCCAATCTACAGAACTAGATGATTTTTTTGGAACCTACTGAGTTAAATCACAGTAAACATTGTACACATAATGGATAAATAAAACCATAAGTTTCATAAATGATATTACTGAAATATATCAGTTAGACTTTGATCTATGTATTTCTGAAAAAACTGAAGAAAAATCAATGTGACAATAGATGATAGGCTTTGAGCTTCATTTACTGCATCCACATTCTTTTCTCAACATAAATATCTTGATTTAGATTTGTTTTGTGTTTTGTTTTACTTTGAGTATGCTACTATCAATAAATAGTTCTTGGGTCAGGGCATGTTAAGTTGTCCCCAAACAGATATTTCAAGTATTATTTATTTTGATTCTGATTACACATTTAATATTAATTTACTTTGACTATTGCATTATTTTTGAAACCAATCTCCAAAACAAATAGCCTATGATTTACACTACTTTTATAGGGGCAGAGTTGATGCTAGTGATAGAATAGTTATTTAACCATGAATATAAACATAAAACTGTTCTGGTTTAGGGTTATAACTACATTTGTCATTTAATAAGTATCATATTATATTAACTTGTTTTTCACAATTTTTATCTAGTTTATATTCTTATATTTAAATTACTGATGTTTGTAAACTGTGCTACTACTATTAACCTAGAAATTGAAAAAATATGCCTTACCTCTTCAGTGTGGACAGCTGCTGAGTCCTCCCAGGTTAGACCAAAGTTTTCCTCCATATTTTAAGCATGGAGAAACATATTGTTATCTATCCATAGAATAAAAGCTATTAGTCTTTTGAAGCAGATGCTTTTTCTATTTTTTCCATGTACTAAGAAGCTATACTATTTGTTCCATGAAAATCAGTGAAAAATACATAATTATGTGTAAAAGGTGCATCAATTGTGTATTTTGATAACACTTCAGAAAATTTTAGAAACAGACAAAAGATCTTAAAATTTAACAATTCTAGTTTAAAATAGATTTAGATTTGTTTCTGCTCATTCTTAAAAATTCAAATACTAGATTAGGTAAAATGGGAAAGCAGATAATATAAGACTGATTGGATAGTTTACACTTATGCATTAACTAATACTAAATTTTTATTGAAGATAGTAATGTGCAATTATTTTCCTAACTTTTGCATTCAATATCATTATCTTTAACAAACAAAATTAAAAACATATTGAATGGTGCTTATTTTTGCTACCTTATCAAATATCAAAACCACACCATGCAAATTAGGCAAAAAATTCAAATATATTGGATAACAATAATTAAGCAACAAAAAATAATACCTTTGTCCTTTTTGAACATTTATTAGTAATCATTTTTGGTAACTAGCTTTTCCCAAATTTGAACTGTCGAATAGAAGATAGACAAACCTATCTCGTGACCTCTTTTGCCAATAATAAATCTACAAAAATTCAAGGGGAGTCCAGAAAAAAATGGATCCAGCACAAAGTTAATTTTTTTTAGGTTATCGATATATTTTGACAAGTGAGGTTATGCTAAATTTGAGGTTAGTGAAGTGATTTCCAAAAACATAAACAAAAAAATGTCAGTGCAAATTTGTGGGTTTAAAAGCGTAAAATTCGAGCTAGCACTGACTCGTGACGACGCATATTTTAATAGTGCACTGCCTACGTCCATTATTGGTGGGACTTCACGTAGAAAGAAATGAAAGGTGTAATTACATCACGGCCTGAATTTACGCATACGCAAAGAAAATGCACAGGAATCATGGAATAAAATCTTCTGGAAGAATTTCAGCAAAAATCTTCGCGTAAATCTAGTACTTACATGCAAAAATCCATCACAAATTTGACAACCTAACCAATCTTTCCGAGAACACTCGACGACCTTCACTTTGTTGGTGGCAAATGGCCGCTTTGTTCCCTGTTACGATTGCACCAAATTCCGCGATTTTGCGTACAAGTTTGCAGCCCGATGGACGGTTGGTACGTTAAACACTGTCACCTTTTTAGTTTTCGCAAAATTAGCTAACGTATGGCTTTTTATTTTTTGCAGCTGGAAATATTTTGCCGAAAATAGGTTAGCGATAAATAACCTACAACTCTCGACAACCGCCAAAACAACTGCCTGATAATCAGCTTCCGGTGCGCGACGCGGGAGATTGGAAATACAGGATGAGCACGTTCGGCGGGAAAATTGAAGAGTTCCCTGGGATCAGCGTGGATAGGTTCGATGGAGAAAACGAACATTCTGAGGTTTATTTTTTATCTCACTGCCATACTGATCATATGGTGGGCTTAAGCAATGTCCAGTTCCAAAAAAACTTGGTCAATAATAGAAAATATCTGTTTGGTTCACCTATTACGTGTATAATTTTGAGCAAATTGTATCCAGATATTAAGAATAATTTGAAAGAACTGTCTTTATACTTACCAACGAATATAATGTTCGAAAATAGCTCATTTTCTGTGACAACTGTGCCAGCAGGGCACTGTCCTGGTTCAATCATGTTCCTTTTTGAAGGAAAAACGAGAATTCTTTATACTGGTGACTTTAGAATTCACAAAGGAGATAGTAGAAAATTTAAATCTTTCTACGATTCTTTTAATAATGTTAAAAGCATAGATAAAGTTTACCTAGACACTACATTTTTCACTAAAGAGTATTTAAGATTCCCTAGAAGGGAAGATAGTTTAAATGAGTTATGCACAATTATTGAAGAATGGTTAGATCAGGGTAGTTTATTCATGATAAATTTGGTAACAAGTGCAAAATATGGATATGAATATCTATTTATTGAAATATATAGGAAGCTAGGAATGCCTATTCATGTAAATGATGAAATATACAATTTTTACTGCCTGATTCCTGAAATGGATAAGTCAATAACTACTGACGGATCTATAACAAGAATTCACTCACATTGCGGTGCAACTTATCAAACAACATGTTCTTACAAATCTCATGGTGTTGTCAAACCAATTAAGGTATCTGCATTTCGTTGGATCCAAAAAATCTTTCAAAGGGAATATCCAGCATTGATCAATTTATGCATTATGTTTGCTACTCTACACATTCTTCCTATGAAGAAGCTGTAGATTTGATACAATTCTTGAAGCCAAAGGAAGTTGAGATATGTGTCAAACCTTCAGATCCTCAGGCTTATTCTCTTCTGAGACAATTAATTCAAGAAGTATTGAAGGATCTTGTAGAAGATGAATATGAGTCAGAAGACTCAGAGGTAGAAGAAAATATGCCAAAGTTGTTTAAAGTTGATGAGACTGTAGTCAAAAAAGAAATTTCAGATGACTTAGTAAAGGTACATGAAGATTGGAAAGTGCTTGAAGAAGATGAACTAGCTTCTATCATGGATTTGCAACCAAATGATCCGTATAGATATATGTTAGACTCTCCTCCAAGAGAGGATAAGCCTTCAGCTGATGTTTTGGAATCAATCATGGATCTATCACCTGCTAAAAAAACCTTGAAAGGTATAATAAAAAGGAAACAACATGCATTGAAGCATGAACGGAGTTTCACGTTGTTGGATTCAAGCACTGAAAGCGGTGGTTGCAGCAATAAATGGGAAGATAGTGAATACTTGGTAGATGATAGTCAAATATATGATGAAGCCAAACCTGGATGTAGCAAAAATATAGTTGAAGTAACATGTAGCAAAGTGGATCTAACCGGTGAGTCTTCAGATAAAAAATTCTATGGTGAATTTGATCACAGGATTAAAACGGACCAGTCAGGAAGTGAAAAATTGTGTGGCAGAGTTGGTATAGCTGATAAGACAGAGCCAACTGCAACCTTATTGGATGAATTTGATCCTAGACAGGATCTAACAAAAACTGCACATAGTGCTAGTGATGGGAAATGTAGTGAAGATAATGAAACACAGCCTCAAAAGTTGATAACAGAAGAAAACTTTTTGTTAGACATCATTGAATCAGAACCAAACCCAAGCCTTATAGGAGAAATTGATAGTACAATAAATGATTGTGAAGAAGATCGTAGTGTTCTATATGATATTTTAGGCATATCACCACCAAAGTAACGCATATTTTGCAACTAGAGTACTTATATATAATAAACTACTATTTTGGAAAAAGTGGGTATTGAATAATATTATGAATTGACATAGATATATAAGTATAAAGACGTTTTTATATGAAAAGAGGCTGTGATTTTAGCTTGTAGATTTATTTACGTCAAAATTCAATTCTTTTAAATGATTATAGATACAAATGTATATAATTTGATATTTTTATAAATGAGAAATAAATTATGTTATCTAGACCAGTTCTTTTAGTTACATATGCTGCAAATATGTATTTAGAGAAGATTATCCTTTAGGGCTCATATAAGAATTTTAAAGTTAAAAAATATATCTTCAAGGCCACAAAATTCATTATAGATAGGTACTTTTTAAAACCATGTGCATACTTTTTTATCTGGGTTTTGAAATATTTGGTTCGATGTTTTTTTCACATTATTATAAGAGATTACAAAATTGACTGGAACATCGAGGATTGTCATTTATAACAAGAGGTTGTAGTATTACTAGTCACAGCCAACTATGTGAAGCGTGGTCTGTCTGAGTAGGCTGTGAAATCGCTCGGTCGCTTCTGTGTTCGCAATGATATTCGCGAACCAGCTCTAAAGTTTACGAGCAAGAGAGCTGGCGGGCTGGTATATGGGTGTACATTTTCACACGAAATTATAGTTGTTGGATTGATGATTTCAAAAAAAGCTTTGTTATATTTGGTGTTCAATTATTGTACACAGACGGTTATAAGCAAATATTTTGAAATAAAAAAAAATCGAAATTATGAAATAATTTTCAGGTACATTTCAGATTTCCGAAACTCTTGATAAACACGTCGCTTTGCCTTGTTTATAATTTCTCATAATGAATATCAAAATTTAATTGAGTCAAACTTTTCTATAAATTCAATATTTTCCAATTAACGCAGCTTTTGTTTCACTTGTATTTAATTTACTGAAAGGTCTAATATCCCAAATACAGGGTACCAAACTGAGATGGAAACTCAAAAATGTTCATAATGACAGAATAACAGTTCCTAGCAACGATCAAAGTTGATTTGATTTTCTTTTTAACAATGTTTCGGCATGTAATGAAGAATGAAGTTGTTTTTATTTTCGTCCCTCGAAAACGACGTAAGATTACACAGTGGAGCAAGTTCGTAAACATTTATGGCCGCGGCTCGCACTGTGATAAAAAAACTATAACGTCTGGTAAACCCAAAATTATACTAACAAAACCTGAATCAAAATTTGTTTTTATACTAAGTGACATATAAACCGAACATCCAGTTTAAATGGTTTTATTTTAATAAAAGTTGGTGAATGTATTTATCTTACTGTAAATAACAAGTGAAAAAATGTTCAGCCTTATCAGTTGGACATTCCAGTTTTTATACTGCTTTTTTTAATTCACTAACGCTCTAAAAATGAATATTTCAGCCGCAGTAAAGAATCAACGCTGGCGGATTTTGGTTCTTGACATCCTTTACGATCGGTTACGATGCCTAGAGTACGGAGACCTGTACGATTTCGTCAACTTAGTGAGTTTGATAGGGGCACTCTGGGATCAGGAATGGAACAGTATTGTCTTTAGTGACGAGTCTCGATTTTGTTTAGGCATGCACGATGGTCGTGCCGGGGTTAGAAGGCGACGTGGTGAAAGGAGGAATCCACAGTTTTTTGTTGAAAGACATGTTCATTACACTGTTGGAGTTATGGTTTGGGGTGCTATAGCTTATGGTTCCAGGTCACCTTTAATCTTCATCAGAGGTAACATGAACGCGCAGCGTTAGATCCACGAAGTTCTAGAACCCCATCTTTTACCCTATCTTGACACCCTGGCAGATCCAACTTTCCAACAAGGTAATGCCCGACCAGATGTTGCAAGAGTCACAAAAGACTTCTTTCAACATAATGATGTCACATTGTTACCATGGCCACCAAGATCTCCCGACTTATCCCCAATTGAGCACGTGTGGGATATGATGGGTAGGACATTGCTCAATTTGCAACGTCCTCCTCAGTCTCTAGAAGCACTTCGAGAGGAGTTGGTGGTTGCCTGGAATGAGATACCACAGGAGGACATTGACCACCTGATAAGAAGCATGCCTAGGCGCGTTGGAGAATGTGTAGCACATCAGGGTGCATCCACACATTATTAAAGGTCAAAGGGCTTTAAAGCAGTGCAATCATTTTGAAATTTTTATCATTTACTTATTATGCTTCATTAAGTACTTATACAAAAAAAAATTTTATTTAAACTGGGTGTTCGGATTTATATGTCACTTAGTATAGTTCACCTCAAAATTAATCCGTGTACCAAATCAAAAAACCTAAACTTCTGTTTTCTTTGCTCTTCTCATTTTTTCTTCTTTCCCTTCTTCGTTGACATTGTCTGGTTTCTGGGCAACCAGGACTGACAGACTCGACACTAACGTACATTAGACAGTGACTAATGGGCAAAGATCCTACGGATCACCCAGACAAACAAATGATGAATAGGTACCAAAAGACAACAAAACTGTGTCTGCTTAATCCGAAAAAATAACTATTAAAAGTAATCAACAGCGTACATTTTTTGTCAATATTATTAGCGAGACGTCATTGGAATTCATAATTTGGGCCTTTTATAGAGCGAGGAGGTCATGTGGAGAAAAGTACTTCTTAGCTCAGCTTAGAGATGAGTTCGTGCCAGATCTAGTCCTACAACTTGCTCAAATTATCAGAACAATGCATTATTAAGCTCTTTATTGATTTATAGATTTTTTTAGTAATTGTAGGAAAGATACACAACATACATTAAATATTTTATACTGCGGAGACTGTAGGCAAGTTTCAGTAAACTCATATCATTTTTAGCTTATTTTATTTTAAATTTATGTATTTACAAAAGAAATTGTTACATACTAAGAATCACATATCAGTATAATATAATAAATAATTATTAAACTAAAGCTTCATGTCGGGTATGGAGAGGGAAAGTAAAACTATCTTGTTTTATATTAAAAATCGGATACAAAAACTCACCACGTATAATTCTATTTTCAATTAGTAGTATACGCAAAATTTTCAAATAATTAAATACGTACTTTTAGAGCACAATTCCTGTTATTTTTGTCTACAATAAATAAAATTCCTATATTTAGATTTGTCAGCATAATGCGTAAGTTTGGCAGAAGACTGTCACCACGCAAAATTCATAAATATTCAGTAGCAGGGTTTGAAATTATAGATTTTCCAATGGAAAGTACTTAGCCTCAAACTGTCACTTGTTAGTTTAACTTGTGATATTAATATGGATTGTTTGGAGTTAGTTGGTCAGATTTGTTTGAAAATGACAATTTTTTAGTTGCGACAGTTTCCTTCCAACTCGACGATTTTGTTACACAATACTCGATAGGACTCCATTGTTTCGCAGCAAGTTGAGTTTTCAAGAAAAGCAAAGATTTTTCGAAAAGGAAAAGTGATAAGAACAAAAGTAATCACTCGTTTCATTCTTCCATAAAAGAGGAATATTCACACACAATTTCAGAGCTGTACTTATATTTGTTAACAAGTTCCGATTGAAGAAAAAAATGCATTTTTTGACAAAAAAATGAAAACATTGTTTTTCAGTCATCTCTACAGGGTGTCCGCAAAGTTGGGGTTTTCCTTTACACGACGTGTAGATCTTGAAAACATAAGCAATTTTTCTTAGTACCATATACACCAATGTCTTAAGGGAACCGAGATAAAGGGCTCTGCAACATCAAAAATATCTGAATACCGTCCTGTAGCCGCGACATCCCCGAGTGGTACTAGGACACTAGCTCAACCCGACGACAGAACTGGGTCGGGGTCAGTGTGTCAGGTCAGTATGCAACCTTCAACCGACGGTTACGGTCACGCCTGTAGAGGTAATCGCGTAGACGAGAATCCCTCAACAAGCACTAGAGACGTGGCTAGAGAAATGCAAGTATCAAAAACTAAAGTGTGGCAAACGCTGCGTGAAGAGGGGCTGTATCCGTTTCACGTCCAACGTGTACAAGCCCTTCAACCTGACGATTTTCCAGCAAGAGTGCGGTTTTGTGAGTGGTTGTTGCATCAACATGACAATAATCCGGACTTTTTGAAGTGCATATTGGTGACAGACGAATCTACGTTCACGCGTAATGGGGTGAATAACTTTCGCAACACTCATGTTTGGTCAGTAGATAATCCGCACGCTGTCTGTCGGGCACATTTTCAACAAACATTTTCGGTGAATGTTTGGGCTGGCATGGTGCGTCTGCTCGGTAGCGCATCAGCTGATTTCTTTTTCTGTTGGAGCGGTATGATTTCGGGCAGAGACGTACTTAGCCCTTCTCGTCAACTGGAGAGCGAGTACTTTTTCCTTTATTTTTTTTTACTTGGTCGCCCTCGTTTTACTACACATTACCTTTGTTATTTCAAGGGTAGTTGTTTCTGAAAAGGAAAACCCCAACTTTGCGGACACCATACACACCATGAACTTATCAGATGAAAAGGATTTAGAATACTGCTGCAAACAGGAAGTTGAAAAAAATCTAAAACGGTGGCACGTCCCTTTTCGTGTTACAAGGCTGCCGACGTTTCAGAAAAATTTATTTCCTTCTCCAGAGCTGTACAAAAAAACTAACTTTGCATATACATATTTCAACAATTTAAATAATAAAATCGATGTAAAAGATACTTATTTTGGCAAGACATTGTACACTGCTCAAACAAAAATAAGGGAGTAGAAAAAAATCCAATTTTTCTGTGATTTTTGACTGTATTTTGGTTAAAAATGGTCGTATCTAAACTTTAAAAAAATCATTTTGGAGCTTTGAAATTCTAGTTTCCTGGTTCCTCAGCAGAAAAAAATTAGGGGCAACGGTTCTCACGCGATTTTAAGAGCCTGCAAGAACAAACATTTAGACTCATCTAGCCCATGTTTCACCAAAACTCAGTTTGTCAAAGATCACTGATAAAATGGATTTTTTTTGATCCCTTAATTTTTTAGCTAACTTTTAAATTAACTATTTAAGCTTATCCCCGAATGCCGGAGATGTGTTTACACAGTTCATTTTATACAATTCCTTAACTAAAATAAATATCTTTTATATCAATTTTATCGTTTAAAATGTTAATTCATTGATATGTAAAGCTAGTGTATTTTTTGTAGAGTCCTGAAGAAGGAAATAAAACTTTGTAACAGGAAGCTGTTAATTACAAGAAATTTAGGAAACAAAATATATTGTGTGTACTTGAAAAGGGCCACCACAGTAAACTGAAATCTAAACATATATGTGGTTTTGATTCGGCCAGTCAATGGAGTCCTATGAACATGAAAACCAGAGGATAAGTATCAGGAGTTATATTTACTATACCTAATATGAAGGCCACTTGTGTCATCTATAGTAGGACTGTGTCATAGACAGTGTTTTCTGCCTATATGAAGTATTGTTAAGGAACACCTTGTCAATCGTTAAAGAAAAAACACGGAAGAAATCTAATAGAAATATCTATACGTGAACTAAACACACCCATATTTTCAGTGCACTGTGCACAACTTTTTTGCTGTTTCGCAAATTTTAGCAAATATCCAATGCAAAGCTTGTCCATTATAAATTGTGCCGTAATACAAGCTGATTAAAACTTAGATTTCGAAAAAGCCGCCAAATGTTCTGCTAGTAAGCTGTATTTCAGCATGGATATGAAGAAAGTCAACCATTTATTGATTTAATGCGGGAATTAGGGGCCCATCTTACACTCTAGATCCACTACTTCAAAGACGCCCTCTGATTGGTTGAATTTGTAACCCAAGCGCTTTTTTGAACCGCGGCTTAGTAACATCGGGTCTAAGCTTTTCCAATTAAATTTATAATCATTGTTCTCATAGATGATGCTACAGTATCTCACTTCGTATATTTTTTTTTGACGCCGAAATACAGCACATACCTGACTGGACTTGGTCCGAAAAATACGTAAAAAAAATTCGAGGCGTCGTGGAGTACCCCTCCGCCTGGAGGTTCCCTTTCTCTATGCATTCCCCTCTACGGTCTGTGAGTAAGTAGGATTTACGTGTGCTGGTTGAAAGTAACCCTTTTTACCTGCCGTCGGCATGGAGCTTTCTCTGATCGAGGAAAAGCGCATCAACATCAAGTTTCTGGCAAAGCTAGGCAAGAATGATCGTGAGATTTTTTAGTGTTTGGAACAAGTTTATGGAGACAATTCTCCGAAGGAACCAACCGTTAAAAAGTGGTTGAACCCTCCATATTGAACTCTGAGGAAAATGTTGAACGAATTCGGGTGAACATAATTTTTTTTAATGGTGTAACAACATAATTTAAAGTGGCACATCCTCTAAGTTGGTAATGGAATTGTGAGTCGACATAAGAGTTGTGTCATTGGCGTATAGAATTAGCTTGTTATTAATGTTGTTGGAAAGGCATTTTATATATAAGAATAACAGTGGGCCGAGTATAGAGCTTTGTGGAACACCACGCAAATCCGGGCTGATTCAAGAATTGCAGCCATTGTATTCCACGATCTGTTGTCTATTTGTTAAGGAATATTCCAAGGCCAGAGTACTAGTTTATGTATTAAGCCCTATCAGTATAAAGTATAGTATAATAGAAATACTATAACATACTGTATTCACCTGTAAGGAAAATTAAAGACCGTCGATTGACAGAATGATAGCTGAGGAACTGTAAATACCCAAAACAATCGTCCACGAAATTCTTTTAAAAAAACTTGAAAACATTGTGCGCGAAAATAGTTCCGAAGCTCTCGACTCCAGAACAGAAAGCAAGAAGGGTTGCTTGCTGTGAGAATTGGTTGGAAGCAGAGGAAATGGGGCTTTCTCAACCGGGTAATCACTGGAGACTAGTCTTGGTTCTACGAATGATGTGGAGATGAAACCTCAAAGCATAGAGTGGAAGCTAGCAGGGGAACCGAGAATAAAAAAGTCGAAAAAAAGCAAGGTCAAATGTTCATTGTTTTTGGCAGATCACCCGCCTTATTCAAAATGCAAAATGGTGCTTCGGGGGCGGCACTTGGAGGATGTGGAAACCATCAAGGCAGAAACGAGACGGCAAATGAAGAGCCTTGCTGCAGGGGGAGTACTTTGAGGGATACCGTATTGAAATACCTGAACAATTGTAAAATAAAGTTATCCCACTTTTATACGTATTTTCCGGACAAACTTCGTATTACGCGGTGACTAAACAATGCAAGCTAAAATGCAATCTATCATCGTCGTCAGTAATTATTTACTTTGATAAATTCGTACTATACTATCAGCAGGCTATACCTTTTATGAAGTTTTGGCAGTTTTATTCAAGATGTTTATAAAATATTTTGCACGTGTAAAATCATCGAACAGGGACATGTGAGTAATCGCTGCAATCCATACAATCATCAAATAAAAGACGGGTTCAACAGAAACATAAATATCTGAATTCGTAACATCCATCTAAAACGACTCTTGGTTTAGGACTTAACCAGAATTAAACATAAAGACCTTTGGCAAGCTTAACTTAAAGGTTGGAGATCCTCTATTGGTATGGCGTCCTCGGGTTGACGTTGATCATCTCACTCGAACTAAAAAAAAAAAATACTAATACAAAATTTGGTCGATGATCGGCCTCCTGAGAAAAATTGCTGCGGGCGCCCATGAGCCTTTTGATCAATCCAAACTATTAAAAATTAATATCTGATTAATAATAATTCGTGTGCATACCTCTTTCCGCATTTGATATGGATAAATAGAAGTACAATGCCCAGAACAAGGCACAAACATCCTACAACAATATACGCTATACCTAGGAAGGGATTTTTGCCTCCTAACAAGGATGTTGTGCTCAGTATCATCTTCTTTGAACCATCAAAAGTACTGACATCATAGTCTGAAAGAAAAAATATAGTCAGTTGCGACAAAAAAATACTTCTCTAATTAGTTAGAGTCTAGAGTCCATATAATGTCGCTTCGTTAAAAAACTGGTGAGTAACGCACTCACAATAGCGGAGGCCACAAAAATTGTGAAATTCGACATGACTAAAAACATAAAAATATTTATTTATATTTGGTAATGGAGTTGTGAGTCAAAATAAGAGTTGTGTCATTGGCGTATAGAATTAGCTTGTCATTAATGTTGTTGGAAAGGCAATTGAGCAAGTAATTTATATATAACAGTGGGCGAAGGGCAGAGCCTTGTGGAACACCTTGCAAATCCACGATTTGCAACTGTTGTATTCCGTGAATTGTTATTTGTCTGTTAAGGAGGATTCTAAGACCAGTGTACTAGTTTGAGTATTGAGCTGTATCAGTATAAAGTGTAATAGAAATACTATAACTTACTGTATTCAATTGTGAGGACATAGTCGCCTTTCCTCAACCCTTGGACAAACCCTTCCTTGGAATGATCTATCCTTCTATAAAGCTTCCTGAATGTTGGCAATGCTGCCGTTCTCATCCAAACTATGAGATCTTCATTTTGGAAACCATTGTTGTCTGGGTTTTCCTTATCCAATTCCCATATGTTCAACTAGAAAACATTATACAGAATAACAATTCTGGGGGTTCTTTAAAACAATGGAGTAAAATTATTAACATTTAATTTATTATATTAATGTTCAAGGAACTATATTTTTTAATTTCTCCTTGATAGAGAAGTCGTTCCGTGGGTCAATACCTTAATAAATGTCAGGAGAAAAAGTGCGGGAGTTTCAATGTCAGCCATCAGTTTCATCTCAAAGGATGAAGTTAATTTTGTGGTGAAACATTTAATAACATGAAAAATCTAATAAATTTGCACATTATCGTAATATTAAAATTCTAAAATCCCTAAGGATATAATTAAATCAAAGTTTATATGCGCCTTTAATTCTTGAAGCATACCTTCCATGCCTTGGGCTTTGCAAAATTAGCAAAAGCCTGTTGAAGATCACCCTTTGGATTTCTGAATTTAATTTTTTTATCAGAATCCCACGCAATTCCAGTTCTAAGCAATGGAACAGGAATAAGCTTTTCCTCAGATTCTTGCTGCAGGGTAAGCACATCTAAAAACATTACTTGTATAAATACAAATCTACGCATAATGCACAAGTATCTTTCAAATAATTTTTATAAATCTTGAAAAAATGTAAAATCTTCCTTTTAAGAAGTATGACAATTTGAATGGCATTTCAAAGCTTATATTATAAAATACACAAAGTGTTTAGTCAGTTCATTTTTATTTCGTTCGTTTTCAGTTATTATTGTAACCACAACCGAACCTACTGATAATATTCTTTACTAATTGAATGGCATGTAAAAAGTCACGATGGTTCAAACCCTACTCCTAACCTGTGTCAAGAAATGTGACATCAAAAATCAAATTTTACACATTTAACAATTTGTGTTCAGCATAAATTTTATTGAATATATTCTTACCACTGAACATAGAATTTGCGATAGCTCCACATGGTGCAATAGGTTTCTTAGTGTTGCTATCATTCACATAATCAAATGGCATACAGTCTCTGGAAGGTTCAGCATCCAAATTTCCCAACAGCTGGTTATCATCTCTGGACTTTACATACCTTCTGTGGTTTTGATAATAGTTACTCAAACCATAGTACATGTATACTTTTCCCTGTAAAATTAGTACACTTTGAAAACACAATAACCTCTTCTTTCATTCCAAAAGAGTAAATGTTTCAAAGTCAAAATAGCAAATCATCATTCTTACATATAAGATAAATATGTATGTTTAAGGAGATATGAATATTATGTATAAATTTGAATTTTGAGTGGCTTAACTTAAGCCTAACCTAAAGGAAATAATTAAATACAAAATGAAATAATATCTATCAGAAGGCCTAGACAGCCTAGGTACCAATCTGACTGACACACCTTAGGAAAAACCATTGTTATACATGGGAAATCATTTCTTGGCAACAGCGCATCGGCTCGTCTACTTTCATCGCTATTCGTACATATTTCCTACTGTTAACGCGCGTGCTGTTGTCAAGTGCGATAAGGGATTCATGACTCACTCTGCGGTTGGGTTTCGTGTAGGAAAGGTGCGTCTTTATTTAATCCAAAATATCTTAAAAATGTACTCGCAAGAAGAAAAGTTTCAAATGATAGAATGGTACATCCAGAATAATTCAGCACGCGCGGTTGTTGAATTATTTGCGGTATTTGCTTCCCAGATCGGCCAATTCCGTCTCACGCAACGGTTATAAATACCTACGAAAAATTCAAGAGGGTGGGCTGCTTACATAAGTGCCGTAGCTGCATGCACGCTGAAGGTTGGAAACCAAAAATTAGCGAGAAAAGGGAGGAGATCGAAACTGCTGTTTGTGCCGCTGCAGAAGTATCTGAGCCATGCTCAAGCAGAAAAATTGCTGAAATGGTACCAATAGCCGATCTCACACCCAGAACAACAAGAAATATTTTGCATCGCAACGGCTATCATAGCTTCAAGGTTGGAACGGTTCAAGAAATATTTCCTTTAGACAAATACCGTCGAATGGAGTTTTGTGAAACGGTCATGGAGAAGGCGAACAGGGATGGAAGTTTTATTGGTAACATTTTGTTTACTGATGAATCCACATTCCCTCTCCACGGTCATCACAATCCTTCAGTCGTTCGGTATTGGTCTCGGGAAAATAAACACCTCAGTATTCCCGTCCGCACGCAGTATCCACAGAAACTGAATGTGTGGGCAGGAATTCTAGGTAATAACATTATCGGACCGTTCTTTATTGATGGAACTCTTACGGCTGCAAAATATTTGGCGTTACTACAGACGCAGATTGTTCCTGCAATTAGGCAGCTTGGCATTGATCTCGCTAATATTTGGTTCCAACAAGATGGATGCCCGGCGCATAACGCGGCGATCGTACACACTTACCTTGAAAGTGTGTTCGACCACCGGATTATTGGCGGTAACGGAACAATAAAATGGCCTCCTAGATCACCCGATCTAGCGCCCAATGATTTTTTCTTGTGGGGTTATGTGAAAAGTACTGTTTACACTTTCAATGAGAGAGCAGACAATTTGCATAACCTACAGGTGAAAATCGTTGAAGCGCTCGGGCAAATACAGCCTTCTACCCTCTTGAGAGTTCGTCAGGAGTTTTATAACCGCCTGACATACTGTTCATTGAATGAAGGAGACGTTTTTGAGCCCCAGCTGTGAAGGACCATTTGAAACATTTGTGTTCATTATTGCGTTTTATTTTTGAGAACTTATTTTTTTGTTAGAATATCTTTTTATTTTCGTTACACATTTTTAAGAGTGTACTATTTTTTGTTAGAGTGGGTATCTTCTTATTTTTGTTATGAGATGCAACCTTTATTGCTACAAAACCAATTATCCATTCATAAAAATAAGTAGAGTGATTTAGTGAAATCTCGAAATCGGTTCACAGGACGTCCAATCGAACTGGTGCGTAATGCGCGCATCTACTGTACTTCTTCTATCGACTCAACGCATACTGAAATTTGCAGCAGACCGCAGACCTGTATCACGAATGAGAATAATAGGCAGATACGCTGTGTTGCCAATTTGAGTAGAGCTTCCCGAATTGTGGGGAATTTAGAGTTAAGTGTTGATTCATTCAAGCTTTTAATCAGCATGGCCTAGACGTAAGAACTTCATAAAGATAACATTGAAGCTGAATGCTGCTGGAGTATAGTGTTTCGAATATTCAAAGCGGAGCGGCGGGACACTATCCTCGTTCAATGGGTCATCAAGCCACAGTCTTTTCAACAAAGAAATTATTTTACGAAAATGCGTTATATTTTTACGATTTTGTCGTCACCAAATCTCTGTTTCTCAAAATGTACGTCTATTGTAGAATTTTCAGCAAACTAAGCAAGAAACGTGATCTAGTATTTACTCAACATTACGGATTTCTCGAAATACATTAAAAAATGTGACCTAAATACCTAACTGCCCCAAGCTCTTTAAATATAACACCTTAAACCAGGGTTACCAGGTGCTCAGTCACGTTGATTGTCATGTTGTACTGCGCAAGTCAGCAAACAATCTGGCGTAATAAACGTTAGGAATCATCAGGTATTGCCAGATTCCCGAATATCGGGCACCATAGTACCCGTTATAGTTGTCCTTCAAAGTTGTCAAATCGCCCCTATGGCGCAAATTCGCCACACCAGGCAACTGTGCTATAAACAAACCCTGTTTATCACTACTATTTCATAGTCATATGGTAGTTGTAGCCCTATCTAGCTGTCCATGATTTCTCTCAATACTGTTGTATCTCTACTGGCAACAAGAATAGGGATTACAAAATCATTTATACAACAATATACAAACATGAAAAATATGATTTGAACCATGAAACATTAATACAATTTTAATAGTTTGAACTTTCTTTTTGGAATACTCTTATGTGGAATCCGCAGCTATTTTTCCCGAAATTTGGGTAGACTTAGATTTCTTAGAAATATGACATATTGGTATCGGCAACTCTGCGAATGGGAGAAACAAATCGCATTTGTTGAGCGCATCCGTCTAAGCAGCAGGCGCCAGCGCCCGTTCTGCCATCTCTCTTTTATCACTATTCTACTTTACCCCGTTGTCCGTCACACTCCGACGCTGCCAGATACGATCCTACAATAGAGTGTCTTTCACGCACCTACATACTTTTGTATATTTCCATCTCTCTTCCTCCATCATAATGTATAATAATGTTTTTTCCCCAAGGTGTATAAGATAAATATGTATGTTTAAGGAGATATGAATATTATGTATAAATTTGAATGTTGAGTGGCTTAACCTAAAGCCTAACCTAAAGGAAATAATTAAATATAAAATGAAATAATATCTATCAGAAGGCCTAGACAGCCTAAGTATCATTCTGACTGATCAGAAAGACATGACACATATATAATTGCAGAATGGTAAAATTAAAATAGCATATTGATATTTATATATATATATACAGGGTTATCCAAATTAAGTGTCCACCATTAGTAACTTTGTTATTAGTGAAAATACAAAGTTGTTGGAATTAGCAAACTAGTAGCATTTTTAACGCTGGTAAAAATGAGAAATAAAAAAAAACAATTGAGAGTCGTTATTTTGATTTTTTTCAGTAAAATAACATTTTTTTAAATGGAAACCCCTGTATATTATATTTTTTTCTGTTAAAGCATCAAATTTTAAACAAAAAAGTTCATAATGACTTTTCCGCTAAAGTCAAAAATAAAGTCAAAATAACGATAAATATTTTTAATTATTTGCAGTATTATAATATTAAGACGGCTATGAAAACAACATGGTGTTCGCGATTTGACAGCATTAAGATAAGCGACAAATTGTTAAACTGGACATACTCGCAACTAGAAGGCTTTGGAAAACAATGATAAAATCAAATAATGTCAAACATTAGTGTAAATACTTGTTTATAAGCTTTATTGTGTCATTAATTTAAAGAAAAATGTTCTCCCATGAAGAAAAGTGTGATATGTTAGAATGCTATTTAGTGTGCAGAAAATCCTCCTTGAGAGCAAGAGAATACTACAGTGAATTATATCCCGCTCGCATTCAACCGTATGAACGATATTTTCTGAGACTTTATCGAAAATTTAGGGGCAACGAAAATGTTTTTGCTAAAACAAGGGCAAAAAAAGAATTCATAATAAGCGAGGCCACGGAAATTGCAGTTATTGGATATTTTGAAGCTT